TTAACAGTGTCTAATTAATAAAGGTAATAATACGTTTACAATAATGCATTTAAAATATACAGGATCTCTAATTATAATAAGGAATATTTGTTAGCATATTTTTTATTTGCATACGTTACATATTTATTGAGTCATAAAATACTCGGAATTTTATTCAAATGTTTTGTAAAATTTGCACACAAAACCAAAAATCACCATACTGGAAACATTCAATTCCCCAATTACAGAATAATTAAACCGAATTTTAACCACAACTTTGCCAGTGACATTCAGTTATGTTAATTTAATTGGACAGAAAATCACTGTTTTTGATTTTTCCCCTTGCTTTGTGGCCATATATTGAAATCTTTGAGTCTCAAATTTCAATAGCAATGTTTTATATACTTTATTTACAGCCCCAGGAAATGCCGTGTCAATTACAATTGTCTGCTCGTATTTGGTGAACTGGAAAAGAAGAGATGAAAATTGATTTCAGAGGAAAATATCCCGGGAATATATAAATTATGCCAATATTTGTGGAGGACTTTTCGTATTGAAAAAAAAACGTTTTATCTGTATGAAGAGATATTCTTTGAAATCCACGAAGAGAACAATTTAAGAAATACCATTTTTGTGTGGGTCTTTCAGAATTTCCCCTTTGGCAGAAAAAGGACTTGAAGATTATGATTTTACGCCCTTCTGCACTGCAAACTTTCTCTTCATTTTCGGAGGAATCCTTCTGGATGGACAACAGAGCTTAACTGATTAGTCTGCAGAATAATTGCAGATAAATATATGAAAATAGCATGAGTGTATTGATTTTGCCAATTTGACTAGAGTGCGAAAATAGACTGCGAACAATCATGAGTAAAGCTGCATTTGTGAAATACTGGAAGTATGTATTATTCAGTGACACATCTTGCAACTCATGCTTGACTAGGAAAGAGCACTTTGGGGATTGCGGACTCAAATTTAATCCATTAAATTTACATTTTAAATTAATTCATGCCTGCACGGGTGGTTGTCTGAAAAGTGGATGGTAAGCCCGGGAAATAAGGCAGAAAAACTCAATTTGGATGAAATGGGGAGACTTTTGTATGCGCCTTTATTGAGTTTCTTGGGTGTGGAGACAGAATAAAACGAAGGAAGTGAAGTGATGGCCTCCCGACCCATCTCACTACTCTGCTGAGATTGGACTATCGAACCTTCAACTTTGCTGCATTTTGCACGATGTGTGCAAATGATAAGGATCTAATTTATAGCCTAACACAGTGGGAGAGAGAGGTTCTATCAAAAATAAGTAAATAGTGGAATATTGTGTGAACTGTAAAAGTGTTTAGTCAACACTTTCAGACACCCATTTTTTGCATAGAATACACTCATAAAAAAAGATACGTAAAAAATTTCACAGATATAATCCAAACCCAGCAAATAACAAATTACTTTTTCATGAAGATGAAACCAATATATTGGCATAAAAATCCTCAACGGCAGAGTTAGGTGTTTCGTACCGAAGCACAAATATATTAAATCTACAGCACGATTCCTCACAATGCAGAAAATACTGAGAAAATCCCTATTTTCTTTGTGGCAAGTAACAAAGCAACTCTCCTTCTTCTCTAGGAGAGCCTTTGAAGGAGCATTATGCATGCATTGAGCGACGTCAATAGAATTGGTGGGTGCTGTGAGGAAAATTCATATTCTTCGCGTGAAAGTGACACACTGGAGAGACTCGAGACAGCCCCATTGAGTACATCTTGATCAAATTCCACCCAGTCTCTCACCTTCAGTGTAAACATCCTCGAGAGTGCAGTTCAGAGGGAGGGTCACGTCCTGTGGAGTATAGAGGCGCGCTGATGGATGAGGAGATGAGGAGCTGTTAAGTGTCTTTTTGGACATATTGCGTTAGATTTCCACCCTCCAGGTAAGAGGTGTTTACACAGAGGAAATTGAATGAAGCATGAAAATGTCTTTCGTGCAAATGGGCTGTAAGATTGACGAAACTTGCGGCACAATTTTCAACTGAGAAGTCACCAACTTTCCCTTTACACGGGCCCACCCACATTCTCTCTGGCTTTTGAGCCGAGGAATTGAGGAGTTGTTGATCAAATATAGGCGAAAGCCATTAAGTATGCGACACTCTACCCAACTTGAACTTTCCTCTTGAGGGTCAATCAATGTGTTGAGGAAACACCCAATTATTCATGACACGACTTTGCAACATATTCAATCACAACTTCTGCCCCTTGCTCCCCACGTCAATGATTTCATCTGTTAATGTTTCTGCGAAATGTGTAGAAAAAATATTTAGCTAATTATAAAACGATAATTGAAAATAAATATGAATTTAGAGAGGCAATAAACATCTCGATAATGTTGTGAAATACAGAACATTATTGATTTTAAATTATCGGTCATAACAGAAGCTATCATTAAAACAGCAGAGCGAAAGTAATTTATTGTCAAAAGCATCCTTGAATACATACATTGTAAACAGGAGAAATAATTTAGTAAATAATATATACTTTATCAAAAATTTATGATTTCATGACACACTTTAATGTCGCCACCACGTGTTGATTCTATAAATTGAAAACCAATTAAATATTGACAGGAGCTTGAAATACAAAAGCTACTCTGCTTATGAGACAATTTACCCGTGAAATACATTAAGATTCAGTTTAAAAACACCAAAATGTGCCATAAATCTCATTTTCAAGTTGATTTGTGTCAGTGTGAATAACTTAAAAATGTGTATTGGCTCAGACGGATAAGCCTTCAGCCGAATATTCACATGTGAAATCCTACAATTTGATGAATTTCGAGAATAAATCCGCGGATTTTGAATCAAGAACTCAAAAGATACGCTTCACAGATACACTCAGAGGAATTCCTATAGGGAACAAATCGAAGAGGGTAGACGACGCGTGGCATTCTCGTGAAACTCCCCAAGACGATTTAATAAAATGATAAGGAATTCAGTGGCCGCGTCAAAGAACATCCGATGGAGATACCGGAGAAATTTGTCCTTTGCGCGAGGGATTTTCATCCCAAAACATCGGCTTTTCAAGCTCAGAAAAAAACGTGTCATTCTGGCACACGCAGAAAATCGTCCCCACAAAATCGCGGCATTTTCTAAGCTTTCTGCCTCCTTTTTCACCCACAAAACTCTCCGCCCCTCAATCCGCCGTGAGTCAACGGCGTGCCAAACGGGGAAAAACAAGAGGCAATACAATGTACTCCACCGTATCTCCTGAGAAAATAACATTTCAGGCGGTTTTCAATTTCTTAAACTCTCCCCACAAACCATAGACAGATGAGTGTATATATTAATTTTTGTCAGGCTCCACCTTTGGCGGTTTGAGGGGTGTTTTTCCACGGCAGATGTAGAAATTGTTATTGAAAAATATATGTACTACACACACGTCCTCGCACGGTTCATTCGCCTCTTGTGGAATTATTGGAAAAGCGCTCCTTTTTGTGCTTGACAAGGCAAAGACAGGAAGATGGCATAGGTTTCCGTAAATAAATGTGAGATAGCGATATTGATTTTAGAATGAGACGCTCAGCAAAGGTATTTCTTACCTCAACGGCGAGGAAATCTTTTGTATCTTAGAGAAATATTTATAGATATGCCAAATGATCTTATGATTGACAAATATTCCACGCCTTTCTCAGATTTCCCCTCACTTTTCAATGCAACGCTATTCAATGCCATATGAGAATAAATAGAAATGTGGATTTCTTTTATCAGCGACACGCAAAAGCGTGAAGAGCTTTTACGTGAGAATAAAGAGCATTAAATTTCAATTAAAAGACAACACCAACGCACACATGACATTGTGCTTTGGATATCAAAAGGATTTCTCTATTTCCATCTTCTTTCTCTCATCAAATAAGAATTCAAATAATAAAAGAGACATCATGAGTGGAGGAATGAGAAAGCGAACAAAGCCAAGTCGATGGGAACATAATTCTTTTGATTTATTGAACAACTGTAGAATCAATAAACGGAATCACAACTTTATTGCTCAAAACGTATGTAATATCTGAAAAAATTTATTTGAATTTGAGGGTTTGTCTCTCGGCGTTCAGCAGAAGAAGGAAAATGGCAAAAAATTATTGTCATCTTTATCGGGTTACAAGAGATGCGACAAAAGCAAGAGACACAATAAAATTTTCCCCTCAAACAATTCCACAGCATTGCATTATTTCACTCCGTTGATTTGTCTGGGGGTTGTGAAATTTAAAGATTTCCCCCGCGTCTTCTCGCATGCAAACCTCCTCTGCACTTATTCCATGGATAAATTTCTTAATTAAATAATACAGTCACTGTAGCAAAAGACATTGCTGAGCATACGCCTTTGAGGAGTGAAGCCAGCGAATATATTGTTGCTCCAGTATAGAGAGTTGCATTTATTTGCAAGGACTTTTATATCCATCGTCAACCCCATTGAGAGCAAAGTCTGCAATTAATTCAAAACGCCAAAAGTACCATTGAATGCTATTCTGAAGTATGAAAACTTTGCTATTCACTTGAGTTTATCATAACTCTTCATTCTCTCATCCTTTGCAGCTATTAAGAGGTTTTTCGCACGATTCCTCCCGTCTAGGATACGAACATCCCAAATGAGACTTTTCATTACACTTTATGTGGTGCTCCTTGAAAAATACGACATCACAGCCACTTAACTTTTTTTGATTCACCCCCAAGAATTCCCTCACAATTCTTCCCAATGATCATCCTCTGTCTAATGAGGACTTGCGTTCACTTTAAAATGCCATAATGACATTAAAGAGGTAAAGAGTCGCGATGATTTGGGGAAATGTGTGGCATATTTCAATAAAAGTTACACACTCCGGAAACTGGAGCACACAAAAGTATTTGCAAGCCACAGAATTTTACCCTCCGTGACTTTTGCATGATTAGCGTAATTTCTGAAATTCCCTAAAACAGCGAAAGTCTTTAAAAATCGATAGATTTAAACACGACTTTAAAACCTTGAATTGAATCTGATACTCAAAAAGTTCACAATTTCAAAGACTAATAAAAAACACAGAATTTGCACTAAAAAGCTCTAATTGGTGGACAAATCGCACAATTTAACGAAACAAACTCACAAATTCCATCCAAAAAAGGTTTAAATTCCATCAGCATTCAAAAGGGAGAAGACATTGGACGTTGTTGGAATAGAGGACGAATCGCCTTTGTCATCTCCCTCCTCTTCAGAACTCTCCTCATTCTCATCCTCCGAGTCAGTGAAGTTGACGAAACTGATCTCACTCAGCTTGGGGTCCTTGTTTTGGATCGCGATGATGTCCTTCAATTCGGGATGATCCAGCCAAGAGGCCTCATCCCTGATGAAATCCGGCGGCAGAAGATGGAGATTGAATTTGCCATCCAGAGCCATTCTCAGGAGATGATTGGCGCTTCTGTAGGTCGCCGGACGGGCCACTTTAGCCGTGAGGAAGCCTCTCTTCACTGCCCACTCATCGCAAACCACTATCGGCGACCAGCCGTCCTCAGGATCGTGATACTCGTGCTTGAGAGCGAGCAGGGAGATGAGATCGACTCGCTCGCAGAGGTAGCGGATGGCAGCGTAGGGCTCCCTCAATTGGGCTATGGGGTAGCTGCCCATCAACACCTGGAGACTCCTCGGCGCGGACGAGGGAAACACCAGCCCTGGACAGTCGCACAGTCGGACGTTTTGAGTGAGGAAAATGGTCTGGAAGTGCTTCGTGTGGCCTGGAGTGCGACTCACGCTCACCACCTTCTGACCCATCAGGGCATTCATGAGAGAGGACTTGCCCACATTCGGGAAGCCCAGACAGCCAATGGTTAGAATGCCGTTTTTGTGGCGCACATACTTCTGGAAAACGAGATCCTTTTCCTCCTCGTGCACAACTTCCGGCGTCTCGGGCTCTGCGTCCTCCTCCTCGCCGTCGCTCAGGTTCAACTCCTCCAGAATCTTCGACTCCCAGCTGGCGATGTCCACAGAGCCGCCCACAATCTCATTCACTGCCTTGTACACTTCATACGCACCCTCCGCCGCCATTCTCATCTTCCCGCGGCGACGACGGATCTGCACGCCCGTGGAAGAGCCCTGAGGCCCGCGCAAATTGTAGGAGGGAAAGGACGTGAAGGCGAGAATGTGCAGCTGTGGGTATTTCTCCTCAAAGTACTTCTTCCACGCCAGCACCACAGCCGGAGGCACGAGATCAATCTTGTTCAGCACCAGAATCATACTCTTGCCCAGCTCCTGCACGTGTTGATACACTGAAGGCGGGAACATGAGTGTGGGGAAGCGGATGTCTACGATGAGCAGGAAAATGTCCGAGATCTCGAGAACTCGCCACAGCTGCCGCCACGTCTCCAAGTTCAGCTCGCAGAAGCTGAGAATTTTCTTGTCATCGTAGTGCACCTTCTCCAGATTTTGCATGTAATCCCTAAAGTACTTGTTTTCATTCCACTCCAGCTTCTCCTTGGACATCTCGTAGTGCCACGGTGGCCTTTGCGGAAAGCCGTATCCCACGAAGAAGTTGTCGCCCACCTCGAGCGCCTGAGGCGGCACTGGATTCAGCGGTTTCTTGGCCACCTCCTTCGCCTCCTTCACCTGCCTGTCCGACTCCCGGTAGAAGTGGAAGACGTACCGTCCATCCCTGCCTGGCTGATAGTTCAGCTTCTGCACTTCCAGATCCTCGCTCTTCCGACCTGCATCATCTGCTCCCTCCTCCTTCAGGGTCTTGTTCAGCAGAAAAGGATTCGCATGGACTGCCGAGGAAGATAAGCAGAATTAAAACCACCTTCAAAGGAGAATCCTGACTTTTCCAAGGACTTTTCTTTACCAATCTTCGCCTGCTTCTTCGCCGCAAGCTGCACCTTCTTCTTTTTCCCACTAAAGGCAATCTTCCTGCGTCCCTGAGGCATTCTGGAGCAGTGACACAAGCTCTTCCAGTTACTCACTCAAAGATTATATGGGAAGATTCGTAAATACTGGGGATTTCCGCAGGAATTTACTATTTTTGCGAAATTCACTCGACTGTCTCCCAAAACAAAGTGAAGTTTGCTGTAAATTCAAAATTCAAACAAACCGATACACTGTGAAAATTCAACTTCTCTATTTTCCTATTTTCTCAATCAGCTCTCCTCTTGATCTTCCTTCATCATCTGCTCTATAAGTCGCTTTCGTTCCTCCGCTTGACGCATCTGCCGCAGCACTAGATCCTCAAAATCCTTGTCTGTCACGTTAGCAGAAGCTGGCGCAGATTTATTGTCTTTCGGAGGCTCTCCAATCCATTCCAGCCGAAGGGGATTTTCGGGATTGCCCTTCTCATACGCTATAGCCATTTCGGAGGCTTCTCGTGTTTTGTACTCAACAATAGCACTGCCCGGTTTCTTCCCGGACACCACAATCGCCTCAATATCGCCGAATTTCTGCAGATACTTCCTCAAGACCTCTTCATTGTAGCCTCCATTGCTAGAATCTCCTTTCGCGGCAGTCCACTTGATCTTTATCCGATGCTTCGAAGAGTCCCACTGTGTGGAGTTATTCAATGTTTGATGGATCTGCTGTCGCAAGAGTTCCTGCTCCTCTTCCAGAAGACGAGAGCCCTCCTTTCTCAGCCTCTCAATCTCCTCCTTCAGCTCTTCCTCCGGAGATTTCGCCTCAGTGTTGTATGACTTCCTCTTGTTTGCTGCACTATTGGCTGCCCTTTCCCGTTCCTCGAGATCCGCTTTCAACTTCTTCCTTTTACTGTCCAATTGCCGATTCCTCAATTCAGCCGCTTTCCGGGCATTGAGAACTCTGTCATAAGCTGCTCTCGCCGATTCATCAGAGAGGATTTCCAACGCTTTAGCGAGTTCATGAAACAATTCAGCCGCTTTCGGGTTATCTGGATTCTTGTCCGGATGGCAATCGAGAGCCTTCTTCCGATAGGCTTTCCTGATCTGCAAATAAACGATTGTAAACAAATTGCTTTCACATCAATATTACCCACTTACCTCAGTGGCCGAGGCTGTGGTGTCCACACACAGTAATCCATACAGATCCACATCTGTGAATTTCTTTATATCAACCATTTTCTAGCGCGATTTTGAATAAAAATGGGGAAAAGAAAATTCATGCACACAAATTCGCAAATTCATAAACAAACACTAGCGCCACAGTGACTCAACGTAGAAACTCAGCTGACGGCGAATTCGCCAACCGCGCGAAATTGAAAGTAACGGACTGATGATGCTGTGCTTCTGAAAAATTTATTGATCAACTTGACATTGCATTTAGGTGAAAATATGTGAGGTATATGTCCAATTATTTATATTATTTTTTTAGAAGATAACCGTATTGTCGCTCCAGTCGTCACAGTTGGTCTTTGCACGCTCCCCAAGACAGTAAATGAGATTCCTTGAGAACTCGCACTTGTCCCGCCGCTGCTCCATTTCCAGAATGTGGAAGCACTCCTGGATGGAATCGGTATAGAAATTTTTCAGCTGACGATTCCTTAGTTCTCGTGTAAGTACATGCAACACTTTGTGTTTGTCCGGAAACTCATCCTCGTTCGTCATCTTCATCTCCTGGAAGAAGCAATGCATGAGGCACGATCTGTCGTACTCCGAGCGTCTCTCGTAGTTGGACTGATTATTATTATTATTATTATTGTTATTGCTCTGCCCGTAGCCGTTGCTGGAATTTTTGTATCCACTGCGTCGATACCTTCCTTGTCTGCCGCGCAAGTGCTCACGATTCCTGCTCCTGTAGTTGTCTTGATCTGAAGGCTGCTCATCATCTTCATAGTCATTGCTATTATCATCCAACTCCTCTCCGATCTTCCTCATGCACACCCGCACAACACGCTTCACATCCTCCTCAGTGGGCCCATCGTCTGTCTGGCACTTCAATCCCTCCACCAGGACGCAGAAGCCCACACAAAGGATCACTGCCGCGAGCAAGAGAGCGCCATTCGATCTCATTTTCTCCACTGCGTCGCAATATTCACATGCAGGGCATTTTATAGAGAAAATTTGATTAATTGGAGTGTCATAAAATGCATGTCTATCTGTCCAGTTACTTCCGGATGCGCTATGAGCGACGGATGGACGGTTTCATGACCTTAATCTCATTCTGTCTGATGTCTGATCAGAATAAGCTCAACCTTGAGGGCATTGATCTTCAAATACCACTTTTATAGACAAAGAGAGTTTATTTCCAAAAGCTGAGGCTCCTCTAGAACATGCTCTGAGGAGCTGCATCTCCAAAAAGCAGTTTCCAGGACGGTGGGACTGTGAGCCGAGGGGTTCCGTCCTCTTTCATAGGCAGCACTTCCAAGAAATCATTAAGTTTGGTGGTCATTTCCCGGGCATCCGGTGAGTTGTCTCCTTCAGAGACGTACTTGAACAATGTCATGGCTGGGATTTTCTTCGTCTGCAACACCATGAAGAGCTGCGATGCAAATCCACCGCCTAGCATACGTGGGAAGCCTTCTGCTGAGTGCTTTCTCCAATTCAGAGCGTCCAGCTTCGCTTGGTGGTCGCTCTTGAAGCCCTCTGAAGCACTGTACTCAAAGGGACTCTCGTCGACCACGTGTTTCTCGTGAGCATAGCAGCTGCTGAGGACAATGACCTCCTTGAATTCCTGTTTCTCAATGAATTCCATCAAATTATCGAAGAAATCGTGCATTTGGGATGCGACCAAAGGCGATCGGATCTGCATTACGGAAATCCTTTTATTCGCTTCCGCTGTGTCCACGGTGAAGAGTTCGCAGGCTGTTGTGGTGTTGTCCTTCTGATCTCGCCAATACGCCGGTGGTCCTATGATCGGTATCATAGCCGGATGCCAACAGAGTCCCACCTTCTGCATCTTCAGCGTCTCCACGATCAAATCCACTGAGAGTTGGGCGACATTTCCAACGCAAACACTTGGAATGATGAGCGTATTGCCCGCGAAATTGACACTGGACGTGAGCTTGATCATCTTTCTTGCGAAATTCTCGAGATCTTTGCCGGGAAGCAACTCACCGTGATGTTGTTGTTTCGATAATGACATTCGCTCGGGTGGCGAACCGAAGCGCTCCCTGGTGTAGTCTCGCCAACAACATGTGGTAGTCACCCTGAAGAAAATCGAAAGTTTGGACTGCTATGGCCAGCGCAGAAGAATTTCCTGCTCTAGCGCGTGAGTAAGCCTTTTTCCATCACATTTTGCGATAAGAACGCGTGTCTGATTGTCTGTGGGATGAATTTAAGCAGTAGATTTGCCTGGAATTTCTACAATTCTCTGCAAATCTTACCATTCTTGCCACATTGTTTGTCATTGAGTTTCTCCAAAAATAGCGACATTCTCGCAATTGTGAAACACTTTTAAACCCGAAGTCGCTTCACTAGCGCCTCTGGGAGTTCTCTGGTCTTCCTGCCGACCCAAAAATGCCTGGGCCAAAGTTCTGGAGGTGCTAAGATGCGAATGTGAGGTTATGTTGTGTGTGCGAATGAATCTCTTGATGACACAGCTTCTTTGTTCTCTCTCCGGCAGTTCGCTCCAGCGTGGGCGTCGAGCTGTGGAAGAAGGCCGGGACTGGATTTCCGTACGTCCCTTACGAGAAATTCACCCGCGATGAGAGCAAGTACTGTCGCGTTCTGGAATACAGTCCGGACGGTCGATTTTTGGCCTGGGGCAACGGTGGGAAGGTGCAGCTGTGCCGCACGTCGGACTGGGAAGTGGTGGCGTCGTTGCCACGTCCCAAGGCGTTCTACCTGAAATTCTCACCACGTGGCCGCTACCTTATGACGTGGGAGATCTTCTGCACCAACAAGGACAACCCCGAGGGCAGCCCGAATCTCTATGTGTACGCCACGGAGACGGGCGAAGAGGTGTACTCGGCGGTACAGAAGAAGCAGGTGGAGTGGGAGCCGGGCTGGTCTAGCGACGAGTCCATTTTCGCCATCATGCTGGGCGGCGAAGTGTTCTTCTTCGAGGTCAATGGCCCGGACGGCTTCAAGTCCAGCACACGGAAGCTGGGCGGTGGTCGGAACGGCTGCGTCTCGCTGGCGCCCAACAATGGACAGCCGTACCTGGCCTTCTACGTGCCCGGCACGAAGGGATCTCCGTCCATGTGCAAGATCTATCAATATCCCACACTCAGTCCCACGCAGGCCATCAGTTCTAAGAGCTTCTTCCAGGCCGACAAGGTGGAGATGATGTGGAACAAGCGCGGCACAGGACTTCTACTGCTCACCAGCACCGACGTGGACCAGTCCAATGCGTCCTACTACGGCAAGCAGGCGCTCCACTTCATGTCCACCAAGGGTGATTCGTTCGCGGTGCAGCTCAGCAAGGAGGGGCCCATCCACGCCGTCGCCTGGAGCCCCAAGTCCACGGAGTTCATCGTGGTGTACGGCTTCATGCCCAGCAAGGCCACTCTCTTCAATCTCAAGTGCGACGCCGTGTTTGAGTTCGGCGAGAGTTCTCGCAATTCCATCTACTTCAACGACTTCGGCAATCTGGTGCTGCTGGCGGGATTCGGCAATCTCCGGGGAAACGTGGAGTGTTGGCAGATGGGAAAGGAGCGTAAATGCATCTCGTCGCTGCAAGCGCCCGACTCCACGCTGCTGGAGTGGAATCCCAACGGTGAGATCTTCATGACGGCCACGACGGCGCCGCGACTGAGGCAATCCAATGGCTTCAAAGTGTGGCACTACTCGGGGGCGCTGCTGCACGAGACAATGTGGCCGGCGGAGCAGGAATTGCTGCAGGTGGCGTGGCAGAAATTCCAGCCGGGCTTCTTCAAAGAGAAGTCCGTGAGCGCTGAGAAGGTCGTGGGCATTCAGTCGGCTCAGCCCAAGGCCAGTACGCAAGTGTATCGCCCGCCGGCCGCCCGTGGACTTCCAATGAAGGTCTTTGATCTCTACTCTGACAATGTCCAGAAGAGCACAATCCCAGGACTCCCGCCGGGCATGATGGCGAAGAATGAGAAGAAGAAGAAGCAGCAGCAGCAGAAGCTACAGAAGCGCCCCGAACAGCAGAAAACGGAGGAGCGGAAGGAGCAGAGCAGCGACGGGACCGCCACTAACAATTCCGACCAGGTGATCCAGGACAAAGATGTGGTGGACAAGAAGCGCCAATACAGCATGAGGATCACCACGGGAGATCCGCAGAAGGATCGCAAGATCAAGAACATACAGAAGAAGCTGTACGATATCACGAAGCTGAAGGTGAAGAAGTTCAACGGGGAGCCACTGAAGGACACCCAATTGGCCAAGATTGACTCTGAGGCGAGTCTCATTGAGGAGCTGCAGAAACTCACGGTGTCTTAAGGTGGTTCTCCAGCACCAAACATCCCAAAAATTGACTACTCTGGAGACTTTTCTACACTATACAAAAAAAGGGAGCACGCACTCTTTGGGCATCCAACGAGTCAATGCAGTGTCCAGAAAGTGCGTGTGGAATGATTTGAAGAGCAAAATCATACATTTTGAAATTTGTTAACTGATGATGAGAGACCTGTTGAAAACTTTTGGTTGAGACAAATGAAATAAAAGAAACATTTATTATTTTAACGACTCATACACTTGATCTACTTAGCTATAAATAATTCTCCGCAATGGACTAAGATCCTCGTAAATTTTCTCCTCAATCCCATTTGGACTGCTTCTTCGTGAACACTTCTGATCCGTCCGTCTGAACGGCTGAGTAATAACCCATTTTCTCGTACTTTGACCTCATGTACGCTATGTAACCCATCGCACCGAGAAGACACGCCACTCCAATGCCCATTATCACTGCATTCTGCGCTCAGGGAAGGGAAATATCAGGGATTTTCACGAGATTTCATAACAAAACAAACAAAGTTTGAGGTTAAACTCACGGGTTTGGCGTACAATTCAAAGTTGACAGCCCGAAATAGGGAAGTCGTGCGCAGGGATCGCAGTCCATCGCCTGGAGCAGCCTCTGGGGGAGTTTTTTTCTCACTCATCGTGCAAATCTGTACACTGCCGGGCGTGAAAGCGGAGGAAAACCACGGACCATCGATGTGCACACTTTCCGGAAAGTGACGCACACTTCTCCGGAGGTGTCAAAAACAGCTGGTGGCGCTCCGAAAAGTAGTGGGGGATGCCATTCGTGCTCTTTATCGTAACGACGGTGGACGTGATTTGTTTATCTCCGCTGGAAAATTCGCATTTGCCAGCATTTGGCGTCTCTCGAGCGCCAAGAAAACAGTGAAAAGTGTAAATAGAAGTGAGTGTCGGTCCGCTAAAAGTACCAAAGAATGCCTGTGGCGTGAAAGAGGAGGTGAAAATGGTGGGATTTGTCGCGGTTCACACAGGCAAGTGCATTCCGGGTGTTTATTTATAAATTGTGTGTGGAGAAGGCGACTTATTCTCACTGATTTTCTGCTCCCCGAAGGTGCTGGCAACTGTATCAATGAGGTGCTGTACAGAAATGTGTGCAGAGATGCGTGCACGGCTTCTGTGGAGACGCTGAGGAGTGGTGGAAGTGCCTTGGACGCCTGTGAAGTTGCCATTACTCACCTCGAGAATTCCCCCTCGACAAATGCCGGGTTCGGCTCAAATCTCACCTGGGATCGGACCATTGAGTGCGACGCCTCAATCATGGATGGGCAGACGCTGAATTTCGGCGCCTGCACGAACGTCTCGGACGTGAAAAATCCCATCAAGCTCGCCAGATGTGTTTGTGATCTCCAGTCAAAGACGCTGGCCCACGGACGCGTCCCACCGATGGTTGTAAGTGGGGAAGGTGCTAGTAAGATAGCCAAAGAAATGGGTGTTTCGCTCGTGGAGGACCCCGAGGAGCTCATCTCCGAGAAAGCCCTCAACTGCTTTAACCACTTCAAGGGGAAAGTGAATTCCTGGGCCATGGCCAACAACACCACCCACAGCAGCCCGCTGGACACCGTGGGCGCTGTGTGTGTGGATGGCGACGGGAATATCTCTGCCGGGTGCAGTTCTGGCGGCATCATTCTCAAGACCTCGGGCAGAGTGGGACAGGCGGCGACTTATGGCGCCGGCTGCTGGGCGATGGCCGATCGCGATCGCTGCGTGGCCACATGCACCACTGGAATGGGGGAGTATCTGATGAAGACCCTCCTGGCCAGGGAAATTGTCAACGACCTCATCAACTGCCAGTGTCCCGTGACATCCCTCAACAAGACCTTCAAGGAGCGATTTCTCGACTCGCCGTACCTGAAGACACCGGAGCCACTCTACGCCGGCGCCCTGACCATTCTCTACGATCGCACCAGCGGCACCGGCGACGTGCTCTGGAGCCACACCACCGCCGCCATGTGCATCGGCTACATGGGCACCTCCTTCCGGAAGCCAAAGGTAAGTGCCGAGCCCACCAAGGCCGCAACTCTCCCACTCATTTGTGCCCCCGTCTCAGTTTATCTGCTCAGAACTGCCGATGAACTGCAAGAGTGGCCGCACAACTGTCGTATCTGGAAAGCAATTCACACTGCCCACTTAGGAGGAGTCTTCCAGCCACGTTCTCGGCTTCAGATTCAGTATTACGAGAGCAATCTCCCGGCATTTTAGACGATCCCCGAGTCTCTCGTTCATCAGCCGCTAGAGTGATGAATGGAAATTCACGCTTTTTTGACTCTCTCATCCTTATTATTTTTATTGCTAGACGTGTAAGTTGTCTTTTGTACAAAAAAAATGGGATATACTGAACAAATAAGAGTGAACATATTTATAATTAAGTTTAGCATAGAGAGATTCTTTTATAGAATAGAGATGATTACAAGTTCACACGGCAGAGAGACCGATTAGAAATGCTTTTCACAATAAAACACGAAACACTGTTCGATAATAATGTTGCACTGATGTCACGCCAGCCATCCAAATGACTGCATTTTATCGCTATGAAATGGCAAGAGGAATCGCCAAAATGTTCAACTCATAAATTTGCGAGTGGGAGGGGAACGGAGCCAAGTGCAAGGAATAATTTGCAGTTAAATTAATTACTGTCACTGCGACAGAGTGTGAGACAAGACACATGTCTCACATCATCCCCTTTCCAATACATTTTTTCTCCCCATGGCATTGTGCCATTTTCTATTCATAGACTTTTATGTACGTTCATTTTCTGCAAAAATATTACTCAAATAACGGTGGTCACATCAAAAGTTCACGTTCACACACTTTGTGAAGGCTTTGAAGCTCGACTTTAATGAGATTTTCACATGAGGAAAGACAATTTTTACAATATAAAAAGTAAAATTGATCTAATAAACTAACACAAACATATAGAAAGGAGGTAAAATAAAGTGTATCAAATGCACATGAACTTTTGATCTGACCCGAAAGGCAATTGACGTGTGTCTCTTGACCAAAAGACAACGACAAGGCGGATGTTTAAGCGCAATTCTCTCTCGCCATGAGATTGAACATTTTCAACTACATAATGTGCTATTTGCTATTACTACCGACAAAGTGCCCAATAATTTACTGGTTGAGTGAGAATGGATTGCATTTTAGAAAATCTACTATCGTCTCTTCATTAGGCCCTAATTTTAGTAACACGCTTACAAAAAATTCCGCAAATGGCGAACCACTAATTAGTCCCCATCTTCACTCCACTACATTCTATTTCTAGGAGATTTTCGCCTTAATGCTAATTTCATGTAAAAAAAATGTTCTACAAAAAACTGTTAAGCAACAATCTCTCCAAGGCAAACCAATGTTTCTCATCTTCACATTTTTCGTTAAATGCGGAAAGAATACTTTCCCTCTATATATTAATTCCTACGCACGCCGAAGAACGCGTCAAAGTGTTAAGTAATACTTATTATTGTTTTCTTTTCTTTTTGATTTTCCCCCTCACACACATCCGTACTCATACCAAATGGCCGGCTCCTTGTCCTTCTCCTCATTCGGTGGTCTCTTTTTGCTGCCACTGTCACGGTGATTCGCCTTGTCGCCGCTGATCATCTGAGCACCAGATGAGCCTCCCATGGACACGACATCGCCCCCGATCACATTGGAGATGCGATTGTACATTAGGAGTGTCGATGGATTGCCGGGCGATTGATGTGTGCCATTGTCAGCGCTATTCGCGCAATTCGCGCCGCTGCTTCCGCCCGCTGATGACTGGGAGTGACTGGGCGACGGCGCGGCCTCGGGCAATTTGGTGCTCTCGTCCATCAGGTACACCGTCCGGCGACTTCCTGCCGTCCCCAGAGCCGCCACCGTCACGTCCGGTCCCACAGACGCTCCGTCCAACATGTGCAAGCTGTTCCTGTTCGCTCGACTCAACTCATCGCGCCGCGGCGACGTCGTCTGCAGACTCCCGCGCACTCCGCCGCGCGTCAGAGGAGACTCACCACCATTATCACTGGGCTTCCTACCAAAGACACCACACAAATCCCCAGTCAGAACAGTCACAAACATGCACAATATGCAATAACAAACCTCTGAAGGCTGTGCCTGGAATTTGAGTAGCGACTCAGCAGAGTCGTGTCGGAGGACACAGAATTGGGCTCCTCCGTGCTATTGTCGGAATCATTGCCACCGGACTCTGAGCCCATAATCAGCTGACTCTGGGTGAGTCGACTGTCGTCAATCCATGACTTCCGGTACTGAAATGGAAAGTAGAGTGAGAAAAAAAATTCATTTTAACCGCTGCTCTTCCGCAATTTCCCCTCATTGAGAAATGAAAAATGTGATGTGCGCTCTCGCTTTTTTATTACAAGAGAGAATGTATATTTTTAGTGTCCAACAGAATTTTACGCAATTCGTTTGTTTTGCATAGATTCACACATTTTGTGTATACATTCGAGAGAATAAAGTGTGTGTGTAGGCTGATTTTTATTGCATTCACACAAAATACAATCAGTAAAATTCTTCCATATCAATATAATGATTCATTCTAGTTAAAATATTATCCTCTCTTCTTATTTGGTGGCAAGGCTTAGCTTTCCTTGAGCCACTTTGCACGAGAATTCCAATTTTATGCAATATCAGCTAAATTCGGTGTGGAATGACTACAAAACTGTTGGAGGATCACTTTATATCTATCAGCAGCGGCACGATTTCATTATTTTTCAACTCTTTCGCCGGAATGAAAGACAAATATTGCATCATTAGGCATTTCAGTGATGCAGAGATGAAAACACACAAAACTTCATAACATTATAAATGAGTGTGAAGCAAGCATGATGTTTTCGTGACCCGCGTTGACGATTAGAATGCAGAGGAGAGCATTTAAATGTGCGAAATAAAAGATCAATTTGGAGCACAAAAACTACCAAAATATTTACACAAAAGAATTCTATTGAAATCGCCTTGTCGCGAAACTCAATTGAATTTACGTGTATTCCAAAAATATCCACACATAAAGTATTCATGATCATTTGATGTTGATTAAATGCCCGCTCTTTCGCCGTACAATGTCGAGAACACACTTTATCCCAGCATATCGCGCCTCTTACACGTGAGAGAAAATAGAATTGCGAGAAATAATTTTCACGATCACGGTCAACATCGCGGCTCTCTTCAGAAATAATTAATACTATCGCCTAAGAGTGATTTATGGCGTTGAGTCTCTGGTCTATGACTGATTTGCTAATCCATGCGGAACGTTGTGCAAAATATTATGATATTTTCTCATTTACAACATTGGATTTGAGCCAATATTTTTGCTAATGACCAAACTATACAATACCGCGAATGAGTGGATTGATTTAGCACTTCCGATGTCATTAAGTGAAAGAAATATGGTTCAACTCACCCTATTTGGGACGCGATTCATTATGTCTGAGCCGGCTTTCTTCACTCTCTTCACGAGATTCGACCCAAAAGGCTTCCTGCAAGGTGATGAGATTGATTGACATTAGAGTGTGTGCGTAATTGAAAAGCCGCACAGTTGATTAGCTCACTTTTTCGGTGCACAGTTATCCATCTTCTTGAAGTAGTCCATTATCTTCTCCTCCAGCTGCTCCTTCTGCCTGTACAGACTGTTCAACTTGTCCGTGTAGCACTTCTCCTCCTCGTGATAGTGCTGCCGATCCTGCTGCGACATCACAATCAGCTCGTGATACTGCGACAGCAGCTGCGACACATTGTCCATCAACTTTTGCCGGTCCGTGTCCAAATCACTGTTGGCCTTCACCAACATATCACACTGTTGCTGCACTTTGGCCAACTCAATCTCCAGGCCCGTCGCATGATCACTCCTGCTGCTCAGTTCGCCCTTGATCTCAGTGTTCTGCAGCATCAGCCGCCCATTCTCATTCCGCATGCTCCGATACTGCTCCTGCATCGTCTTGTACTGCTGCTTCATCCGGTCATTCTGCGTGAAGAGATTCCTAAAGTCCTCCTTCAGCTTCGAGTGCTCCGCCCGCAAATTCGTGAGATTCATCGAATCAGACTTCGTGGTCTTGCTCTCCGCCTCCAATTCCTTCAACTCCTTCTCCATTGCGAACAGTCGCTCCCTCAGATCCCGATTCTCAGCCTTCAGGTCCCGAATAGTGGTCTTGAGGTCCTTATTCTCACTGCGCGACGCATCGTACTCCGAATTGGACTGCTCCAGCATTGACTGCAGCGACAGGAGATCGTGCCTCAAGGACTCATTGCGTTGCTTGTAGATGTCCATCTGCTTCATCAGCGACTCCTTCTCTGCAGTCAATTGTGAATTGGTCACTTGCAGAGCCACATACTGACTATTCAGCGATCCCATTTGCGATTCTGCCGTCGCCAAGGCTACCTTCTGCCTCGCACTCTCGCCCTCCAGCTGCTCATTGAGCGTCTTGAGGGTGGAATTCTCAGCATAGAGATGATCACATTGCTTCTTCCACTGAGCACTCACAGATGAGACAACCTGCTCAGTCTGATTGAGCAGATCTGCCTCACTGTCATTGCTGATCTCAATCTCCTTCTCCACCGTGAAGATCTCCTTGCGATGGCAGAGAACGCACATGTCAGACGACGTTGTCTCTTTGCCCACATGAAGCATGATTTCCTTGACCGTTCTGAACGTCTCGGGATTCTTCACGAGCTTCTCCACAACATTCTCAACATTGAATTCCGATTGATCGAGCGCAGCATCGTCGAGACCCAATTTCTCCAAGCCCTGCTTCACCTTGTTGGACACGAGAGCCCCATTCACCAGATCTCTCTGGAGTGTGGCGATTGTTTCCGCGTCAATCTTCCCCTGCGATATCAACTCATTGTTTTGCTTCTCCAGCTCAGCGATTCTCTTCACCTCCACCGACTTTTCCGCCAGTTCATCGTGTAATCTCTGCATCTCCTTATGACTGCTCTCAATTTCACTGCTATTTCTATCCAATTGTTTGTCTTTCTCCTGTAACAAGAGAGGAAGAGAAAAAAAGACACAAATTTTAATCACACCGTAACAATCGCTTTGCCAATCATGACAGAAACTTCATGCGCAGCATAAGGATGAAATAAACCAGAAATATGCTCAAGCGTACCTCTAAATTCTCTCTAAGCTTTACAACCTCTTTTGTGAAATTGACATTCTCCTTCTCCATCGTCGTCACCTTCTCCCTCAGGTCGTCCAGTTGGTTCTTCGTCCTGTCAAATTCCACCAATTTCTCCGACAAGGATTCACATTCTCTCGTCTTCGTGTCACAGAGTCGCTCAACATCATCCGCCCGCCTTTGGATACTCTCACTCAGATTCTGTATTCGTTGCTTCTCCTTCACCAGCGTCTCGATCTGCTTCTCCAGATCAATCATCTTCATCCGATCAGCCTCACGCTCCTGGCTCTGTCTATCATTAGCCTGCTGCCGTGCATCCAGGCTGTCCTGGAGCTTTTTATTCTCTTCCAAGGCATTCTTAAACACATCCTCCAATTCCTGAATTTGCTGCACTTGTCTCTTGCAGTTTTCCTGCATCTGCTCCACTTTCAACGACAACTTTTTCTTCTCCTTCTCCAATTCGAGGATCTTATTGGAAGACTCATGGAAGGAAGACTCTTTCATCGCATCCAAAGTCGCTAGCAACCTTCGATTCTCCAACTCTAATCGAAGTGCTCTCGTTTGGGCATTGTTTGTCAACTGACCAGAAAGACTGTTGTCCGCCGAGACGCTCTCCTCCTCGAGATCTGACGTGGCTTGATTGAGATCCGACATTGCCGTAAGATTTTTCGTGGCTAGTTGAAGCTGAGTGTTTTCATCCACCAATTCCTGAAGTTTGTTCTTGTCAACATCTCTCTCCAGCGCCATATCATTCAATTTCTGCTGGTATTTGATTATCTCAGACTCGAGTACCAAGGCATGATCACTGCGCTTTCTCGCCCTCTGTAGTTGCTCTTCAAGCATCTCTCTGAAAATCAAAAATGAAAAGATCGTATATTGCTGATTATATCCACACGTTAAGCAGCGTGGAAAATGAATAGCTAGGAAATAATTGATTATTCCACTACTAATTGTTCTTCCGCGAGTCACTCACTTTGTCTCCAACAGAGTCTTATTGTCTTCCCTCAACTCCTCCACGCGCGTTTTGTAGAACTCCGCATCACTGAGCCTCTCCTTGAGCTTCTGCACCTCCACTTCAAGTCGGTCAGCTCTCTCCGCTCTCTCCCTCAGCACATCCACCTCATCCCTGTACGCTGACGCCCTCCTCGCCTCCGTGTACCACTCCTGGCTCTCCGTTCGCAACTTCTCGTACTGCGACGTCTTGTGCTCCAGCTCCTCTTTCACCTCCATGAACGCCTCGGACTTCTCCTCCAGCTCCTGTCGCAGCTTCCGCAGCTTGGATTTGAGATCAGCCAACTCAACCACCATGTGATTACTGTCCGGACCATTTGTCGTGGCACTGGACGGTGGTGACATTGAATTAATCCGCTGTGGACCATTATTGTGTCCCACTTCCGTCTCAATTATGAAACTCGTTATCCAATTCGAGTGGTATTGATCGCGTTCTTTGGTCACTCGCAGCAAATGGCTGTACATCATATCCGGCGTGAGGTGCTCCATTGATTCATTCGTCAGCACGAGACTCTGATTGTCTGTCACTTGCTTTATCAGCTCCACAATGGCGTGCTGCGTCTCCAGATCGAGCTCCTTGATCCTACCAATGAACAGCTCCTTATTCGGACACTGAACAGCCGCTCCCAGGAGCAGAATCAGCATCAACTTCATCTGCTCCAGTCCTTGAGACGTCTCCGGCGAGTGCCCCAAGACACTGCAATCGGGCAGGATGAGTACTCTCTGTCCCAGCTCCTCCTCGTACAAATTCCGCAAATTCCTCACGATTGCGTCAAAGTTGCGCGCCCTGGCATTGGCCAGGAGCACCCCATCGAGCCCAATGAGCTTCACCAGGTGATGCTGAGGCTCGGGGTCGATCTGCAGCACGACACTGTTGATAATTGCGCCATCCAGCAGGGATGTGTAGCCCGAGAGGATCTCCGGGCGCGGAAGACATGACTCCAGCTGGAAGAGCAGAAAAGGCGAGTTATTAATATTACATCTGTGGGCAGCGCGAAATATGGAACAATGCATGATTGATGTGCCAAAGACATGCCATTCGCGTGAAATTTATATGGCGCTCGGCTGTAAAAACCTCATTCATGCTTGAATTATTCATCAATTTATGAGATGACTTTGCATTTTAGCATGAGCGAATTATGCAAGTCTGCATCCACCAGAATTATTACCACTCTGTGTGTGATTTACGGTGAGAAATGCATTCATCGATCGGTGATAATCAATTGAAAGACAATTAATTAGTGATGTTTAGCGTTCTTTTTGAAATGCTAATGCAACATTCCTACTGAATTCTTCATATCTCAATTTCACAGACATTTTCCGCCGTTTATTTGTTCAACAAAATACCATTGACAGTGATCAGAGGCCTCTGAAGAGACAGTCTTCTGTGTGACACTATTAACCTGAAGAGTCAATGAGTTGGGAGTAGGTTTGAGCAGAGAAATGTGGGTCAGTGCCATCACTCAATACATCACAATTACAATTGCCAAGTCTCACTTTCCCTCTCATTGGCTGCACACCTCACAAGATCACCCAACGAAAGGGCAAGTTTTTCGCCATATGCTCTGCAGAAAAGTGAGGCAGGAAATATTTTGCATGGAACCAGTTTTGAATAAATCATTTCAACGCTAACATATGAACAGTGGAAATGCTGTCAATTGCCACAAAGTTTTACAACAATATTTGATTTAATCTATTGATGTAAATAAGAGATAGAGAATTTTATTTCTAATGGACAAACAGACTAATCACTTAATGTTATTGTGGGAATTTATGTTATCGAAGGTTGAACAGAAATACAAGACCTTCACGATCTTGTCGAAAGTGCTTAAGAGTTTTCTACACGAAGAAAACACTACAAGAATCTCCGCATGTGTAAAGAAAAACTCTGCAAATGAACCTATTAGGCTGTTTATGACTGCACAAAGAAGAAGAATGTAGGTAAGACTTTCTGCTCAAGTGCAATCGCTGACAAAGAACGGTAATCGCAGTGGAGAGAAATATTATTAATAAATTGTATGTGTGCACGGGCATTTTCTAAATGCGATGCGAAATTTTACGATTAATTTTCACTCCGGCTGGCGCCAGAGAAACGCATACAGCTCTGCCATCCGCCGCAGATGCACAGCGACACAAATCGCTGCCTTCAACCTTGAGAGGTGCGAGAGAATTTCCCTTTCGAAACACCGGTGAAACGCTCAGCAACTCTGATCTCTTTGGAGCCACCGACATTGCGGCAATTCACCAAGAATCAACTCCACTTGCTGAACGCGGAGTACGCATTTTTACCATCGCGCGCCGGTGCAATTGAACACGAGAGACACAGGATAGATAAATAAGCAGGACGGATTGGCGATCAAGCAAGAAATCTCCACGCCTTGGCAAGAAACTCAATTGCGGAAGTTGTGTGGAGGATGTTTTGAGAAGAATCATTCAACTTGTGTTTGGGTGTCGTGCGCTTGTCCACTTTATTATTAGATTTACGATCTGTTGCGACAAGTGGAATGAGAGGAGTGATCATTTGCACCAGCGCACACGCACAAATCGTCAAGTATGTTCAAACACGAAGCGTTGGCGTCTCGCGGATGTTGCCTATCGTCTACTGCACTTTACGAGCCACCTTCCAAAATTAATTGATTAAGTGAAATTCTTGTCAATTAGGCAAATTTCCCCCCCGCAATACTGTCCGAATCTCTGCTGCATCTGTCAATTTCACAAATTATCTCTAGCCAATAAATCTCCAGCAGCTTTCCTTGTGGGTGGGAGGAAACAGGCCACAATGCACGTCTCAGTGGAGGACGTACACATTTCTCAATTAAAATCCGCACATGCAAATTGAGCGTGTGGTGCAAGAAAGACAATTTAAATCACAGGTAGAAACAGCAGCGATGCTAATGATCATGGCAAGTGGCAGGAGAGAGAATCAATTGGGACATGCTGGATAAATTTGCATAAAACACACAATAAAATACACATAAAAAGCAACTATACAATTTACAATCATCATAATGACTCTATACCCAGTGTCAGAGTGATGAGAAGAAAAAAGTCTCTATATGTGCAGCCCAATCGTCGCATCCATGCGCTCTCCGTTGAGATACTGTGTGAACGAGATCGTGTGCCAGAAAAGATCTTCTTCACTGCCAATATAAAATTTATGTTGATTGCATTCAAAAATTCACCCATGATATCAACATTAATTTGTTTCTTGCCATTTTTGTCTCCTCTTTTCCTACACACGCTCCATCAACGCCACAATTGCACGCTCGTTGTAACAACAAAGAGGTGTTTTCAACCATATTGACTTCTTCGTGGCAATTGCCACGATTTTTCATCTCTCATCTCATTGTTCAATATCTCTAAGCTTTCAGAGAGCTATACAAATGAATATAGTCTTAATAGAGGGATTTCTTTTTTGTATCACCCCTATTGTGTTCGTCGTGTGCGATGAAAGCCTCTCAAAAGTCCCATGACTTGACGCCTCTCATCCCAACTAATTCAACTAATGAGCTTATTTAACACTTTCATTAGTAAATCAATAAAAGTCCCTCTTTCTCTCTCTCGCCCTAATGTGCAAATCAATGGCGAATGATTGAGGGACTGCTGAGTAATCTCACCACTTCGCATCGACTTTCAGCCCAATTGATAGGCAGTCTATCTCTCAATCTCCCCATATTTGGTCTTTTCGCATGCATTTAACAGTTCACTGAGATGCTTTAAATGTCTCAATAAATTCTTGAGGCGAGACAAAGGCATTCCGGGCATTTAAAGTGGAGGCGTTTCTTAATTGATCACATAAATTCTTTGTGGCACTCTCTGCACAGATACAACACAGATTGCAGCCTATATTTCAAGATTAATTTCACCCATAGATACTCAAAGTCCCAGAGAGCCCATTCAATTATCATCCAAGTGGAGATAAAATCAATATGTGACCCACATATGAACATCTTGTAACTTTGAGGCGAAAGGTCAATCTATAAAATCGAACATTCGTTGTTACAGATTCCAATTCCAACTGTAAATAATACACACACCCCTAAATTATCCACCTTTCCATTCGTTTTTACGACCAATCAGTGTCTTTTTCACCGTAATGAATTTCTACCAGTGAAAACGAACCAATTGATCTATTTATTCTACCTTTACCTACATTTGACTAACAAGATGACTCTTCGAGGCTGAAATGAACACGAACTCCTCTGTAATTTGCTAAAGTTCAAGATTTTCTACACACACCCGAACGACTCCCAAGCCTTTGTAGAATACCAATGAGTTGTAAATTCCCTTTTAATTCCTCCCTGCATCAAATTACCACCAGAATTGTAATGAGATTACTAAATTTACGTTCATCTCATTTTCACTGTACGACACTTTTGTTGGGGGAAACCCTCCAATTCAGGGATTATCCCATTAAACTCTGCAATGAGCTTTCGTGAAAGAAATCATGCGATTCATCGTCGAGACAATGTGGGTCATTTATTGGCTTGTCCTTCACTTGGCAGTGATTTGGAATTTATCACAACGCAGTTAAAGTGTGATTTTCTGACTCAGAAATTCACCCAAAAAACCCTCTCTTTAATTGTGCCGAAAGACAAAAATGCGCCTCGCGTGAAACAATCCCAAATGCTCGGTTGTTAATTAAGCAGAGAAATATTTTACGTGCCTGTCTGACGTGAAATTGTCGAATAAAAATAACTACACTGACATTTAAATGCTACCATCGCAAGAGTAAGAAGTTATTGGAATAAATTCTGCATAAAATATCCAGCAACCGAAAATAAGACCACCATTGCCATCCCACGCGGAGAAATTCGCATGTAAATCTCACCGCGATCTTGCATCTCTCACCTTCAGCTCCATCATCCACAAATCACCTCCCCAGAATGTGTATGTCGAAGAATAATGAAGAGAAGCCGTATAAGAAATGTTGGTTTATATACGATGAAGTACAATTTGAAAATGTCTTTTTCGCATCGCTGATTTGTGCACATTTTTCTCAAAAGCCACCATCGAGTTCCGGTGATTTGGCCTCTCTCTCTCTCTCTCCCTTCCTCCCATTTCAGACACATGCCATGAGTTATTATTGTATAATATCGCAACGTGGAGAAATTGTCAGGGAGAGAGACCACAAGAACATTTCAGCTGAATTCCCGCGCGCACAGAAAAAGACCCCCGCAATTTATCCATTTAATTGGAATGGGTATTAAATGAGAGAAACAATGTAATGTGAGCAAGTGGAAGTCGAAAATGCCTCTCTTGACATTTTATTATGATTTCGGGAGTCATGAACCTTTTTGTCACGATCTTCTTACCTCACTTCCACGCTCTCATATCTGCTATTTCTCCTTCGCCCATCTCAATTCAAAGTGGAATCACTGGGAGTCGTGATGAAAATAGCTTTTGGAGTTTCTCCCTTTCTCTCTGGGAGGCATTCCTTAATTTTTATACAAATTTCCAACTAATTTTCATACAAAATTTCTTCACATTTCATCTTCATTTACTCATTTCTATTTTTTTCTCTCTCTCTTCCATCTTCACTAAAACACACTAATTTTCCTTGAGAAAATCCCCCCTGCAACACCTTTGTTTGTCCGCAATTAAAAACCCCGCCAGAGAAAAATTCATTTCAACACTTCATTGCACCTCAAAACAAACATCTTTTCGAGAGAGAGAGAGTGTTATCAAGGAGAAAAAGACTCGTTAATTGTATGTTACACAAAAATGCACTGGAAGACAATTTATTAGTCGATTCCCGCCTGACAACAGCTGAGAATTAATTTCTTCTTCAAAATTGTTGAATTTTATAACGATGCACAAGGCATTCCTTGAAAAAAACAACTCACTAAATAGTATAGTGTTTCAGGTAAAATAATACCAACTCCGTTCTGTGGCATCTCTTTTCTCATGGAAATAAGATATTTTAGATCTTGCACTCTTTCTCTCCCTCTTTGCCCCCTTTTTTCCACATAACATTCCCGCCTTTTCTTATATTTGCAGTATCTTTTTATCAACGCACGATCATTTTCAACATTTTGCAGTGTGAATTCTCATGTTTGTTTTTCTTTCTCTCTCTCTCTCTCTCTGCTTCACTATCAATTTGCTTTTGCACAAAACTTCTCTCTCTCTTGATCTCTTAGCTGAGAGAGTGATAAATCTGCGTGAAGAATCTCCACTTCCTCTTTTGATACTAAAACTAGACAGACATTCTTTGCGTGACAGCGGCGAGAAAACACATTTCTTATCTTCAAAGTCACAATCAATTTGTGCCGGAGTTTCACAACAAAGACTCAATAATCTTGTAAGGTTTGCGACGCCAGAGATTCTTCGCTCACCCATGCAAACGTCCAATAAGAACAATTCTCACTATATTCCCAACGGCTTCACTACAATATCTATAACTCTTTCGCTTAAGAACATCTGTAACAAACGCTCACTTTAAGCAGCTTAGCGCCTACAATGTCTCGGGAAAAGAGGATCAGTCAATTTGGATTCACTCTACGGACAATCAGGAACGTGTGGCGTGTTGATTATGATGTCCGATAAGCAAGACAAGCAGGAAGATTATTCTAGACGACGTCTATACAAAGACAAATCCCATTCAAAATACCCACTAAACACCAATTGAAATAAATCATCAGCAGAGTGAGAGCCTATCTGATATTTCGGGTGCCTTCTTTGCCTTTCTCCACCACCAAAACACTCCTTTTGTCCAATTCAAATTGAGGAAGCCAATCCAATTAACTCCGAATGAATGACTTCATGATCTTGCCGAGAGTATTAATTTGAATGAAAAAGACCCTCAGGCGATCTTTTCGCCCTGGCCAGCGCCTTCCAAAACCCAGCGAGACACACCTTCACCATCGAAAACTCCCTACAGATGAACAGTGTGTAAGTTAAATAATATGCCAAGTAGAGTGGAAGAACTCAAGTGGTCGCAATGAGATGAAAAAGAGCGCCAATGCATCTCCAATTTCAGTTGACTAAATACCGCACAGCAGATTTTTCCATATTTAAACACTCAGACAGGAATTTGCACAAACAGAGAACACTTTTTCTTCGCTCGCATTGAAGTTCTTTGTATAAATATGGAAGTAACTGCAAGTAGGGAGAAAATTTATATGTCTTTCTATTTTTAAATTCTTCATCCATCTTCGTCGTTTCCCTCTCGCTTCCCATTAAGTTCAGCCATGTGTTGAGTGGCAAAAGAATGTGTGTTCTCTATTAAATAATACCGATGAGGCCTTTAAGTGAAAGAGATTGATTTATTGTTCATGGTGATCATTCTACCAGGCAACCAAAAGCGGCTCACAGTATACAAAATCTCACAGTAAACAGAGTGTTCCATCAGCTGAAACATCCAATAAAGAGCCCAGCAGAGTGACCAACATGGTCTCCATAGAGCCACTTCTGTGTCTTGCAGAAATCGCGCAAAGTCAATAGAGGAACGAAGAGAGAAAACAGCGGCAGCGGCAAAACCGCACGAGTTTCACGAATTTTTGTGCATGATTGTTGCGTAATGTCTTTGTGTGGTTCACTTACCCACATCACCTAATCTTACCACTTAAATTCACACACAATGTCTCCCAATCTTCAGCTGCCAAAGCCACACGAGCATATTTACTGCAAACCGCATTTTTCGGCGAGAACTTCTCAATGCGGTAGTGAAAGGACTGTATAGTTAATTCCAAAACACGATCCTTTCCTCTACATTTGCCTATTAAATTTCCCACTCATTCCTCAGTCAAACTGATCGATTAGAAGTGATCATTTATGAGCTCGTAATTGCAGAACAAAAGGCCCCTCTTCCGCCTCGTCGTCGTCTCACTCGTCTAGTCCAGGTTTTAGGGTGTGCTCGGAAGCATTTTAATCATTCTCTCGATCACACACCATGAGGAATTCCGAACACGTCTCAAAGACTCTTTATATGACTGAAAGTCACGATTTTACTGGGGCAATCTATCATTTCAAAGGGACAACATTACCCACAGACCCACCGCGAGAGTCACCCAAGAAAATCTCTTAAATGCCTTTTTAATGGGACCGATTAGTTACCACAGATTCAGTTAATGATTTGATATATTAGATTGTAATGTTTTCTTTTTACAGTTCTCTAATTCCTATCATCATCTATCAAACAAACGTATCAATTAGATGTGTTTCGGGAACGGATTTTTAATAAACCGCAGATAAATACAGAAATTTGTTCCTTTACAGCCAAGATAAAGCGAATCTAATATCAATGGAATTGATTTTACAGGGAACTGTTACACTTCTTTTTACCCATTTCGGGGTAATTTCACAAAAAAACAACAACAACAACTTCAAAACAGTGTGTCTAATAGAAAAATTACCTAATTTCAGACTTTGAATGAAGGGCTCTTGATGAGAAATTGTCGTTATAAAACAAGAATAGAAGTGAAAACTGCTCTAATGTCATCGGATTATACTTGAGATCAGTGCATACTTTGTGACACGGTCAAAAGTCTGCAAGTTTTGAGGCGATTCCATACTAGTGATCAACTTAGATTTACGCGCATTCAAGTACTTGTAGATTGCGGATTTGGAGACTGTTTTCACTCAAAAAAGGCTAAAAAATCCCGAATTATAAATGTAATTATAAACCGTAAATATTTGTTTGATTGAGAAACCTTGGTAAAATACAATTTTTCCAGTAATAAAAAATATAAATTCACTGAGCTTCAATTGAAAATAAGTTATACAGAAAAAGATAACACTTCAAAACCTCTTATAAAATTATTACTACTTCTGTTTAAATTTGGCGTGGATCTTAAGCAAATATTATATAAAACTCTTCGCATCGCAACCCAAATTTTAGGCGATGAAGTGAAGCTATAAACCTCCATAAATCCACATCGATCGCCAAGATATTGGTCAATTGGAACCACTGAAGCCTACCTCTTAACTGGAAAACACCATCTCGCGTTACAAAATGATGTCACTCGACATAATGGAGTGATTTGGCGGCCAAAACACGGGGAATTAATTAAAAGCAAACATCACAAGCAAATTGCTACACCCTCCCTGGCCTCCCTGGGTGGCACTTCCTCCTCGAACGGGGGCACACTTGTGTGGGAAACACGGTGACTCACACGGGACGCCGCGTGTTCGAAGTACCATGAACTTCTGATTAGGCTTTTTTTCTTTCACTGCTCGCGCTCAGCGGCAAGACGCAGTGTCGAGGTGGATTTTCTGGCCAGGCGCTGCCAGTCGGAGTGAAAACACGCATGGAATTGAGAGATATGTGAAGAAATTCCCTTTTTGCAGCAGAAATTTGAGAAGAGTCGCTGGCGTTGGCAAAGGCAGTGGCCAAGAGGAGTGTGGAAAGAGAGAAAAAAGACTCTCGGAGCCACTTTTTTCACCCTACGCCTCTTCCTTCTGCAGACAGCCTTTCTGTGGGAAGTACCTGAGCGCTTCAGCTTGCTGTACACCTGCTTCTAATCGCTCCAACAATAATAACAATGACGCGATAACACAACAGAAAAGAGTGCTCAGCACGGAAAAATAAACACCAGAAGGTCTCTGGAATTTGACTGAAGAGCCTCCAGACAGCAGGAGAGAGGGGAATGCGAGGCGATATTACTTTTCATTTAGTGGATTTTAATTAGGAATGATCGCAAAAGACCTATGAAATTCACCTGGACAATGAACTCTCGCCCCCCTTTGCCACACTCGATGTCTGCAACAGCCTGACAACCAGTCCAGATTGTGCCTGTGCTGAGACACACACTCGTCCTTGGTGGACACTTTTCAGCTGACAAGCCATCCGGAGAGCCACAGAGTTACGGGGAAAATTAACAATCACTCACCCATGAAACGAGAGGCCCGTTCAAGAAGTCTTCGATCTCGATGTCACTCGCCGACATTTTGATTCTTTTCCCACGATATAATCCACACACTCAGGGTAAAATATCACCAAACCACACATGAGACACTTGTGAACATAAATTAGTGCACTTGGACAATTATTTCACGACTTTTCACATAGTTTTCGAGCAAAAATTGCGGACATCTCCGACTCCGAGGCAGAAACCAAACAAATAAAAACTCACTCAACTGACAATACGGGTTGCCAGCGTGGGGAAGACTGAGCCGAGCGCCTCTGGTGTGGGATTTCCACGCCCTCTGTTAACTCAGCAGAGAGATTTGTGGCGGCCCGCGATCACCAGAACCGCCAAAACTGCATGTGGTATCCAAAATTCCCTGAACTTTTTGCTTCTTGTGCGCATTTATTTTGTTTATTTCCTCCACAAACTCAGTGGAAGGGTCGGCGGAAAAAGTTTATCACCTCGTCCAATTATGCAATTGTATGTTTTTCCCGGCGCCTGATGGAAAAGGTGACAAAATGTGTTTAATGTGTTTTATCGGTGGAATGGCCACCCATTTCGGGTGAACAATGCAAGGAAAAAAAAGCGTGTGGATAAAAGAAAGCTGCGAGCAGGAGAAGGGGAGACACCAACAGTCGTCATCACAGCCACTTTGGACTGACGTTTTCGTAGTCTCGCCTGCGAATATCGCATAAATTGCCTCAGTATTCAATTGTCCGTTGACTGAGTGAGACGTGTTGTCAAGTGCACAGTGAAAACCTTCGGCATCTTCAACTCGAATTTCCCACCCAGATTTGTGAGTCCACAAGGTTGGTATCAAGTTGGGGGTTTATTGGTGGAAATGTTGAGAAATTCCCAACTGAAAATGTGATACAGAAACCGCTTGTGTGGGTTTCGGCGGACGGAAAACCGGATTCAACCACACACAGTATATATTAAATAAATTCGTGAAAGTTCAATCAATTCATCTCCATTTCGTGTGAATGGCTCAATATTTTTACCCCTCAAGAACAAAACTGACGGAGCCCTCTAAAAGCATGCAAATGGGTGATTTACGTACACGAAACGCGAGTCGTCATTTGCATTTCACTGAATTCACTCTTTGCAATTGTGCGGGGGAAAACCCAAGAGGCAAATTGAGATTCAAGTGTGTTCCTTGGTCGTGTGTGACAACAGGCGAGCAGTTAATCATCGAAAATGCAGGAAAAAGACCTGTGTTATTCAACACTTCAGAGGAGACTCCCAAATATGCTAATTATCCGTTCATTACATTGAACAGATCTGGAGGCAGTGACGTAGTGTGATTACTGCCAGAGACGGCGTATTTTTCTCGTTAGGATGTTTTTTTCTCAAAAATCTCTATTGGTTGGGTTTTTCACGTTTCTTCTGTAATATAAACTTGAGGTTTACTCAAGTAGTTCTAGCACGTTTTCCAGTGAACTGTTTGCTTATCACAAATTTTTTACGGACTGTTTTTATGTTTTCATTAGCATTTTCAGAAGACGTTTGACAAGTTTTGTCTGTTTTTTTTGCACAATCAAATGAACAGATATTTATTCCTTTCCAAACTCAGACACATTTTCGGGACATTGTGACCTGTTTTTCGGGGTTTTTGCTCTTTCACTCATCCTCGTGATTGTAAAATCGACTTGCACTCTATTGCATATTGCAAATTGTGACTAACCACCCGCTGAACCTTGCCAAATGGCTCACTTAGCAAGGCTATGGCTTCGCGATGGAGCGATCATGCTATGTGGAATTGGACAATATAAATTGAGATCATAGGATGGTGCAAAAAGTCGAGCAACCGGAATGCGGGGAAAGAGAAAAGATGCGGGATGGGCAAAAATGGCCACGATGTGGGCTCCAAAGATATAATCATCACGAAAAGAGAGATCCAAATTCATGAATTGACTTTTCGAATGTGACGAATCACGCTCAAGGGTACAAAGCGTGTGTAATTGGAAATGTTCTCGTGCTTTGGAGGTCACGCTGAGCATGAGATCAAATACTTGGGATGGCGAAAGAAGAGATTTTTGAGATGATCGTAATCAGATGTCCGGCTTTTTGTGAGCAGCTAAAGAAGGCTTTGCTTGAGTGTTTCTGGGAAGTGTTTGTGAGAAGAGGCGAATTTGGAGCACTACTTGTTTTTACTGCCAGTCAATTGTTATTTGCCAGTAGTTTAACTGGAAATGTTCACGGCTGTGAGTGGCAGAGTTGTTCAAAACTCCTATTATTAATACCTTTTTACGATCGCACTTGTGATTGACGTTCCGTGTGATTTTTGACAATCAACTCGATCATCCTTCCGAGAAGATGTGTAAAAAAAATCAATGATAAGTTTATTATGCAACACAAAAGCGAATCAGTCCTTGGGAAAAGCCCAGAGCATTATTTTTCTATATTGTTATCGCATTTCTTTACTGCATATTGCGCGAGCATTTATTTACGATTTATCCCTGATCTTGTTGGAAAGCCATTAATTATCATGCCTGAGCGGAAGTGGAAAGACAAGCAGAAGTGCCACAGCGCGATAAAAGTGCGCTAGAAAGAGAACTTTTGGAAATCCCTATATTGCGACCAGAGCTGGGTCAAGGGTCACAATGAAATCATTGAGAAGTCACCCGAAATAGCAAAATGCGATTAATTCACGGCCACGAGCTGCTCCACGCGTCGATGAATCATGCTTTTCCTCATCGCGGAGGCTCAATGGGCTGGAGAAAGTGAACTTCACGAGTCGTTGACGTCACTCTCTTCACATAATCTCCAGCGCGCGAGATCGCAAAATGTATTTTCCATGAAGTGAAAAGATCGCGCAATTGCAATTTCACTCATCCGGCTTTTAATCTCTTCCACAGCGGAAGTCGCGATGCTGATCAAGGTCTTCCTCTTGGCAATCCTCGCCGTAGCGGTGAGAAGTCAGTGTGTGTCGGAGAACGATGTGTCCGGTGTGTTCAACAAGGATGCCAAAGCGAATCTGTACATGGGCCAGCAGGCTTTCACGGTGGCTCTGCTGAATGCCACAAACAGAGCCACGCCGAACGAGAACGTCTTCTTCTCGCCATACAGCACGTACCATGCCCTCTTGCTAGCCTACTTCGGCGCCAGGAACCAGACTGAGACGGGCTTGAAGAAGGTCCTGAACCTCGAGTGGGCGGATAGCAAATTCGACGTGATGCAAGCCTATCGGATTGAGACTCAACAGAGAGCGCGCAGAAGTCAAAACAGTTCCGTGGACTTCACATCGGCGGACAGGCTCTTCTTCGCCCCAAAAGTCGAAGTCAAGTAAGGAGAAATTCTTCTGCACAGACATTTAGCCCCGCCCACTTCTAAGCCCTGCCCTAGTGGTGTAAGATAAGCAAAATAACATTTTGTATTCGATTCTGCTTTCAGAGATTGCATGAAGGATATCTTCCATGACGAAATTGAAACGTTAGACTATGAGAAAGATCCTGAACTCGCCCGTCTGACCATTAACAAGTGGGTGGAGAATGTGACGAAGGAGAACATCAAGGAAATCCTCGTTCCCGGATCTCTATCCGCCCAGACAACCGTTGTCCTGGCCAATGCGGCGTACTTCAAGGGCTCCTGGGCATCTAAATTCGAGGCTGACAAGACCCAGAAGGAGATCTTCTACAGCTCATCTGAGAAGCAAACCTTTGTGGACATGATGAACAAGAAAGGATACTTCAATCACGGTCAGACGATTTAGAGAAGAAAGGAGTGAACAGAATGATTCAATGTGATTCTTTTGCAGCTCTGAATGAACACTTGGGTGCTCATGTGCTTGAAATTCCTTATGAGGGCGACGGCACGGAGATCTCGTGCGTGATCCTTCTGCCGCCCTTCACTCCCAATGGCCTGGACGATGTGCTGTCCAAACTCACGCCTGAGAGCCTCCAGAGAGCCTTGGATGACGGCACGTCGCGTGAGGTTGAGTTGAAACTGCCCAAGTTCTCTTTTGAGAAGAAATACGAACTGGTGCCGATCCTGGAGCAGATGCAAGTGGGCGATCTCTTCCAGTCCACGTCGAATCTGGCGGGATTCTCAGATTCGCACAAGATCCAGTTGGACGATGCCGTGCATCAGGCGAAGATCGACGTGGATGAGGAGGGATCCACTGCCGCCGCAGCCACTGTGCTGTTCTCCTTCCGCTCCTCCAGGCCACTGGATCCACTCCAGTTCTACTGCAACCACCCGTTCCTCTTCCTGATCTACGATCACCGATCGCGAGCGGTCCTCTTCGCCGGCATCTACCGCGGTCCGGACAACTGAGCACCTCAGCTTCCTTGTCAGTTAAACTGTACCTTCTCTTGAGTGCTCTTATTAATTACAAATGCGCGGCTCGAGCCCGCTTTCCTCGTGTGACTCTGAGCGTGAAAAAATTGTGAGTGAATGCTGGTGTGCCTGTTTGTGAACTTTTTTATTCAGTCATTTTAATATCTTGTGTTATATTGTATAAATATTTTCAATAATAAAGAAAAAAAGAGATGCTGAATCAGTCAGTGGCTGAGAACAAATCAACAGTGGTCACTTGCAAGATTTCGAGTGTTCTTTTATTCATGAGAGGCTGTGGAAATGAGACTTGGGGCATTTTCACAAGATAACAATTGCACATGATAATTATACTGTTCTGAGGCGACACTTGAGACAAAAAACTATCCTTATTTAGAAGAAGGTTTGGAGATTGAAATGGAAAGAGTGAATATTTGAGCACAGTGCAAGACAACTGGCCTTGCATTCTTCACTAGCAATAAATCTATTATCTCTTCTCTCGCAAATATATAAAAATACAATTGTTCCATTCATTGTACACCAAAATAGCGCTAATTTTTCACATTCTTTTTCACTCATTTCTTGTGTCCAAATGAATAAATGTTCACACGGAAATTGCTTCTGATTCGGACATAGAAAAAAGTTGAAAAAAAAATCTTTTATTCTTCATTGTTTCATGCCAATATTTCAAATTGTTTATTCAAGGGAAAAGATTTTTAATACTAAAACTTTTCATGCAAATAAATTACAATTTTCCATCAACAACCAGCAATTTCGTTAGAAAATTCTACTAATCTGGGATATTTTGCAAAATATTTACGTTCTCTTCGTTTTATATCTTCTACTATCAATTCAAATTCATCACAAAAAAAAACAAAATCATAAATCTCCTGACTGCCAACTAAATTTGAGAGTATTGACAAGAATGGAAAAACCGAAAACATTCCAGCAGTGTTATCTCTACAAAAAAAAGAAAACAGTAACAAGTACTTATACTTTACCTCTTCTACTAAATATTGTATTAAAATACGTATTACTTTCATCGCTCCTTATAGTTATAGTTAGCTGTTATCTTACTTATTTTCCTTACAGCGCATATAAGTATGTTTTTTCCTTACAAAAAAAGAAATGAAGAGAAAGAAGTAAAAAAAATGACTTGGCAAAAATTATTAAAGAGATGATGCCTAAGGTAGAGTCTGACGCAAAAACTGATAAAGAAAATCCCCATAACAATGCAAAAAACAAACATTCTGCATAATTTGTTATACATTTTTAAATTTGCCTACAATTGCATACTCTTGCCAATTCAATGCAAAATCAGAACGCACTGGAAGTCACACCTTCCCAGTGAGTTTACAAGTTGTTTTGCAGAAAGGAGAGAAGTGTGGTCTCGTAGTGTTTGCTGGCTTCCAAGTTGCGCAATGAGTGACGCTCATTGGGATAAACCTGCAACTGGTATGGTTTATTTGCCTTAATGAGGCTATTAATGAGCTGAGACGTGTGAAAGAAGTGAACATTCTCGTCAATTAGGCCATGAATAATAAGTAGACGATTTTCTCTGCAAACACAGAACAGCCAATAAGTCATAAAATCAATGGGAAAACAGGGCAATATTCTTACTCTTCGGGGAATTTGTTGATGTAACTGAGCACAGATCCCGCTGTATATCCTTGCCGGTTATTCTCTGGCAAATTCATGTACCTCTCTGTGTAACCAGTATCATAGTATTCCCAGTTGGTCACCGGAGCTCCGGCAATTGCCAGCCGGAATACGTCCGGATACTGGATCAATCCCATGAGACTTAAGTATCCTCCTGCAGAAGGGACATAAAACATCAGTGTTGTCCTTTCAGAGACATTAGAAGGTCAGTTTCTCACCATAGGACCAACCATGAATCGCCACACGATTCATGTCAATGTAGCCAAGTTGATCGGCCAGCATCTTGAGCACCTCCACTTGATCGGCCAGCTCAACTGTTCCCATTCGGCATCGCAAGTAGCTCTCGAACTTGACGCCTCTGTGGCGGGAGCCACGTGAGTCCACACAGACGACACAGTAGCCTTGGGCAGCCAGCATGTGCATCCGAAGCTGACGCATTCCCTGAAAGAAGTGCGTCAATCCATTATTACACTTGTTATGAATTTAATTAGATCATAGAAAATTGCTGCACATAAGCAAGATAGATGACTTTAGGGGGTTTTATGGGCGGGAAATCTGACTGAGAGAGATATTTTCTCTACACCCAGCAAGTTAATTAGTCTTGTAATTATAGCAGAATCTGTGTTTGGTTTGAATCTTCCTGGCATGTTTAAGAAGGCTCATCGAAGAAAGCAAATATTCAAGGTGTAATTTCAAGTCTATTTTCATACCAAGTCCTCAAAATCATGCTCAATTCCCCTGAAAAGTAGGTCATCAATGCCTCCCACCCGTGAATAATGATGAGACACCCTTCATAACTCAAAGACAGTCGCGCCAATCCACTCAATTATTCATCCAATGAGTGACACTCCATCTCATTGTAAATTCAAATGGGAATCTCCACACTGTCTCGGTGCTACTGCACAATCAATTGGACATACCTTGAAGGTGTTGTTGACAGTTTGCACTTCTGGTCCGCCGTACACATTCAGAATTGTTGGATATTTCACACCGAGTGTGAAATTGTGTGGCTTGAACACCATGGCATACAGCACTTCGCCATTATGCAGGCGGGGATTGTAGATTGAGGGGCAGTAGTGAGGATTCTCAGGAGCGCCTCCCTCCAGCAGGAAGCCCAATGATGTGAGCACAAGGCCATTCACACTCCCGTTCGTGCACGTCTGCGTCACTCTCTTCACTTCGCACGTGGGCAACTCCTGGATGTTGCAGTACGTCTGCACCATGATGGTACAATCCTGATTGAAATCCACCGTGTACGAGTAGCCACGCTTCGTCAGGAGGCTCACATTGCCGGGCGATCTCAAGCTCACGGCGTACAAGTGCTTCTCCAGCGGACTCTCCCGCAGGCCCAAGAAGTAGATGATCTGATGCGCCGTGTCCACCCAGAGATTCCTGCCCAGCACCTCCCACTCGCCCGCCGTGAGAGCCACCTTGTTCACGATGCGCGGATGCAGATTCGCCGAGTTGGTGTGAGCCTCCTCAGAGCTGGGCGAGATCTGCGCCGCGTCGTCCCTCACACCATTCACACTGCTGCCCAGGAGACTGGATGTGACCAAGTACAGATGCCGGAAGCCACTCTCCTCCGAGGCCCAGAGGAAGGACACCGTGGCCGGTGTCACGTCCAGAAAGTGGAGCAAATCGTTCACGTTCACCCATGTGGACGACGTCTCTCTGTAGATCACTTGCATGGGACTTATTGTCTGGCCCAGCGGACTCTTCCAGTCCACATCCTCGCCCGCCGGCGACGACGGACCGCTGCTGTAGGGCTCACAGAAGTTATCAATAGGAATTAGCACCACTTCCAATCGCTGCTGAAGGCGATTCATCAGCTGTGTCCAAATGCTAGAAGAAGGGAAGAGAGACACAGTCAGAGAACAGTGCCAATTAAATTCACTCACTTCCATTTTCCCTTTCACTCTGGCCACAGCGGAATTTTATGCCGACACACACACACTCTGTCTACCTAACATTTTGAGACAATTTGAAAATCATATTTTCCCGGAAATCGCATGTATCGCACAGATTCAGCGCAGAGTGTACGAATAAATTTCAAGCCGAAGAACCGGGAATTTGCATATCTGCGATTTTTGCTCATGGCATTTTTTAACCTCTCAATTCGTACACACTTCTTGTCTTCTCATAACAGTAAATTCGTCATGAACTCCACATGCTTGCACACCACTCTTTAGCTGTACAGAAGATTAATTTCGGAGCTTATTAGCTCAAAAAATGCACAGTCGAAGAACCAACAAAAAGTTGTTCCAGATTCTCAAGAGGAACAGCGGAGTTGTTTCAGACACTTTTGCATGTCGCTGTACATCATTAATGCGGCCAGCAATCAAGTGGAAGCCAACGTTCTGATATCATTGTAAATTGCCTTACTTCTAATCTCTTATATTCCTCTATCTTTAGACGTCCCAATTGAAATATTAGCAGATGCATATCAATATACTTTCTAACGAGAAACCCCCAATATTATTCCCCCATTGATACTCACTATTTGGAGTCAGGCGTCCATCCAACGCGGACGATGTACTCCATCCAGGGAAAAGCGTACGTCAGCGGGCACTGCATATCCTTGATGCAGATGTCAGAGATCTGGAGGTTCTCCGACAGCGTGAACTGCACGAGCTTCAGCTTCGATTTGGCGTTAGGCGAGCCCGCCCGCGGGAAGCGATATTCCTCGTACTCGCCGCCGCCCACAGAGTCCGACGAAGGGAAGGTGTACAAGGTGACGTCGCTCTCGTCCACCTCCTCGTACACTATCCGGTACACGCCATCGTCGGAGCGCGGCTGCCACCAGAAGCCCTGATAGCGGTTGAACTCCTCCTGCATCACGTAAGACGGCACACCTGCGCTCAGGGGGTCGTCGGAGAAGGGCCTCCGGCCGTCGTGGGCGTACGTGAGTCGCTCCCCATGCAGACTGACCGTGTGCGTGATCCATATGTCCCCGCCACACACGTACGCCACCAAGTCTGAGTTCTGCGGGCAGATCTGTGGATCGATGGCCGCCCAGAGCTGACAGATGCGCAGCTCCGTGGGGAACACGGTGCCGGAGTGAAAGCCAGTGTCGTGGCACTGATATAGCGTGCTCGATGCAGGGAAAACGATCTTGCCACTGCCCTGATGGAGCTCATATGATGAGATGCCCCACGTGGAGAGGCGCTTTCGCTCCAGAAAAAGCTGCACCTCGCGCGACGTCGATGTACTCGTGAGACTAGATATTGTGGGCTCCAGCAGTAGATTCCAGGGCAGTCTGAAAGACGAACAAAGACCCATTAAGTCAAACGCCTCCAGCCGGGTCTCCAGGTCCGCGCGGTTACCTTTTTGGTGTGATGTCGTCCGTCTGGCAAATATCCACATAGAGCAACGTGGTCTCCCAGCCATTGGGCGGCGTACTGAGAAAGTAGATCCGTATCCGGCCATCAGACAGGGCACGGAAGTTTATGTTTGCCGGGATGACACTGGAGAGGGCCATTAGATTCCGCCGCAGTTCCGTCACCACTCCTTTCAGCTCCGACCATGACTTCTTCTTGCTGGGATTCCCGGGCAACTGCACCACACAGACACTCGGATTCATTTCCTGGACAAATTTGCGACTGTGGTGTTTGGATTCTGGGTCTGAGTGACGTCGAACTGTCACACTTTTCCCCGGAAATTGGGCCACTTTTGTCTCCGGGAATTGTTCGTCCGTCAAGTCGATGAAATTCAGCGATGGCGACACTGACGCCACCGGCGGATCTACCGCGAAGGACAAATCGGAGTGGTGAAATATTTTTGGCGGGAAGTGAGCGCCTGTAGGCAGGCAGAAATGGAATTAATTTCACTTTCCTCGGAAACATTTAGATTTTCCCCCGTCAAACTCTCTGAGCCAAAAATTAATTCTTCAGCATTCATAAGACCAAAGTGTAAGTAAGATAATTTGTCGATATGTAAAATAGGTGATAAATCACAGGGAAAAATTCTATGAGATAATTTGCGCGGTAGGATGCAAAATACCCACTTTCTTCGCGGATATCAGTATTTGGCGTCATGCTGTACGGTCATTGTTGCGTATTTACACACTGCATTCGGCCTTTGAACTTTTCACTTTAGCACCGGAGGCCAAGAGTGGCCAAATTAATGGATATTAGCGAACAATAATTTATAGCGAGAACCACTTAATTTTCGAGAAGATGCCTCATAACAGAGAGAAATTCATCAAAGTCGAGAGTCACAGTGCCATTTTTCATGTCCACTTTGTAGCTCTGAGAATAAATTACAATTTATTTCACTTATTACCCATTCATGTAATTTATACGGTGACATTTTTGTTGCAAGACACAATATAGAAAAGAAACCAGAAGCCCATTTTTTCATGCACCTCAGTGACATTTTTTCCACCAAATTGCGCCCCCAAAGGGCCCGCTGATAAATGTTAAGTTATTCCGCGTGCATGGTAATTGGTTTATTGACGTCAAGCTGCAACTTCTTATGTCCACTCTATCTTGCGCGGGAGCCACAAAAAATGCTCTTGTGAGGATTTAAATGTCTCTTTCCCACAAGAGGAAAAAAAGCTACAAATTTCACCGTTAAAGGCTGAAAAGTGGCTGAGAAAGAGCAAGGCAAAAATGGGTCACTCCAGCACTCCGGTTATATATTGTGCTTATGGTCACAAGAAGCGAACAATCTCACGAGGGATGGGCAATATTAGCCAGGTTACTTCTCACAATTCTCAGTGGCTTGCGTATACTTTGCATGGAAAGAACACAGAACAGTTTACTTACAGCGAGGTAAATTGCTAAGTACAGAAAAGTGCAAGATCAGCCAGGTGTGTTTAATTAGCCAAATTATGAGAGTCTATACAGTTCCTTTTGGGTACTTTAAGAATAGTGTCGAAAAGTTTTGTTTTGCGATTTCGTTTGAGAAGTTTTTAGTCATTCTGTGAAATTAATTATACTGAATAGCAAATCTGTTTTTGAGTGCTTCCAAGTAAGGATGAAAAGACATATAAATTTGTCTTAATGTCTCGAAACTCAAATAACCCTGTAATATGAGGAGAAATATTCAAAATCGAGAAGAATCGATTTATCTCTATTTATTGATGTTTGCGTATTCAATGAAAATAAAACTTTCTCCAATATTCTTTTGCAAAAATTCAATTTCCTATTCATTTCTGCAAAATAATACGCTATGTTTTTGTACGTGAACAAATTAGCTGTCATTTTTTAAAGATTTTCTAGCTCGACGAACGGTTTAATTATTTATTTGCCAAATGCGGTTTTTATAAGATTCGCTAGTGAATTGCAGATTGACGTCTCTCTAAATCTTATAACTGAACGGTTTATGAAACCACATCACAAAATTGACATCTTCTTGCTGAGAATATTGCTGAAAAGGGCCCGCAATGAATTTCTCATAATTTTGTAATAACATTTATTTGTGGCAAAATAACAAAAACCTGCTAACACCAAGTAAAATAAATCATTTTTCGCATCATTAATTGTGAAATGCAAAATCATTTATTGCCCATCACTGTGACATTTTTATTGGCAAAAGGTGGTCTCGAAAATTGCATCAAGTGCTGCTCATTGCACAATCCTTCAGACAACAGTTGTTTTATAATTGCGGCGATGCCACAAGATCGTCCTTTCTGTGTTGCATTCCAATTATCTTCACCATCATCCGAATGTGTGGAACGTGCGCTCTGTGTGTGAAAAATTCAAATAAATCCGAAACAGCGTGACGAATTATACAAATTTATTTGATTGAAAACATCTCAATTTCCCCACAATATTTCACTCGTGAAATCAATTAATACGTTAATACCATTTTACGAACAAAACGATCGGTGAATTTGCATAAGATTCGTTCACTAGGTCTTCACTTTGGTTCCCAGTGAAAGTCCAAATACACTATAAAATTCCCCCTGAACTTCCTGTGCAATATTTCATAACACCATCTATGCAATATTTCCTTTTTCACTGCCCACAATCTTCCCATCTTGCTCGTGCTCCCATTTGAGAAGCAGAGCGAGTTTCTCGCCGCAAAAAATGCTCTCTCATGCAATGTGAGAAAAACAATTGTTAAAATCGTGTTAATTTCCATTCCAGCGGACATTGTTCCTCAGCGGCTCTCGCGCATAAGACAAACAAGACGCGCGCGATGGTGATTAGAAGAGGCGCACAAATGCTTTCGTACAAGAGATGTTTGGCAGCGGGAAAATTTCCTTTTCACTTTCTTCGGTCATTTGGGAAGAGAGTCTTAAATGAATTATGTGGCTTGAATGGATGATGACCATCTTCGTCTGTTTTGTGCGCTCTGTGAATAAATCATTGAAAGATTGTGTCTAAATTTGCATTTTAATTCAATTTTTATCGTGCTTTTTCGGTTGTATGTTGTACACGTTCGTGAATTTGGAGTTTCACCGGTGCGTACGCGAGTCTCAAACGGGAAAAAAACAACAGTTTAAGGGCTTAGGATCTGGCAAAGTGCTCGTAATCAAAATCACCTCTAAAAATGACTCCTTAAACTAAGTTCATCTACTTCATTTAGCTATAGACACCCCTAGGCAATTGTTAATCTGATAAGCTGCTCAGAAATATTTGTGAAAATCTTCATAATGAAGACACGGCTCAAATTCGTCACACAAATTATGGTTTGTATTTCTCGATTTCAACGTGTAATTTGCCTAAAATCGAGAACATGGTCAATTACTTTGGCGCTCCTCGCGAAAGTCACTGAGGCGAGTTGATGTTGTAAAAAAGAAGCAGCAATGATGAGTCGAAATAGCACCTGAAGTATCCACTTAATCCGATATGCGAATAGTGTAGGGATTGTCTCTCTTTTTACTCATTTATCTTTTCACCACGGAGATATATACCGTTGGTTGGTAGCATAAAAATAACAAAAATACCAAAAGTGTGCACACAAGACGAGAGAGAAAAGCTATGAAAAATCCGAGAGAGTCGCAATAGGTTGATGAAAAGTAAATTGAATTAGTCGAGTCGAAATGAAGTGTGCAGCGGAAAAACGACCACAAAATTGACTTTGCAGCTGATGTCCGTTCGCCGAAGTGATGTTTTACCACTCGGAAGCAATTCTCGAGATTGCCGTGTGCAAAATTGGTGGATAAAAGTGAAACTTATCAATTGGAGATCCATCAAATTGCTAATAGTCTGCAGAGAGCGTGTGCCAACGAACTTTTTGCAATTCCGGCGGCTAATCACGGAATGTGCAAGTTTATTGAGCAATTAAATGAATGGGTATTGTGGAGGCCTGAGTGATGTGCAAAGGGAATTCTCTCACTCACTTCCAGATGAGTAGACACATCACGTAATGCCAAATCACAAAACATGACTCTCCAGAATGCCACATAGAAAGTAGACACCCAAATGTAGGTGCACAACATCATAAAACGCCATTCATGCGACACGAAGTCTGATGTTTGGTGAACTGGAGTAAAAGCTCGATGGCGGAGATTATAATGCGGAGAGAGCAAAAAGTGAATTTTCTCGCCGCCAGTCATTCTCCTATCAAACCCATTTCCAACTGCTGTGATTTTTCCCGAATGGGGTTTAGTGTAATTTGCAAAGATCACGCAGCAGCAGCAGCAACTCTTTGGCTCTCTTGGCAATTATACCGCATATGCCGCATGCATGCATAATTCTTCAGCCATGTGATTATAGCTCTTTTGCCTGCACTTCTCATCAGTTCCAATCTTTTTCCAGGCCCTCCTCGCCGCCCTGCTACTCGTGATACGCGATCTATACACCTTTTCTTCCATTTTTCCTTCTCACCTCATCCTCAAATTGATCTCGGCGCAGAGTTGAGATCTTTAGCAGATGAGATTGGCAGCGAGAGAGGGAGAGAGAGAGAAGAAGAGGAGGAAACGAAGGTGCAAAAGTGCACGATTTCAATATAAATTCGATCGCCTTTTGATAAGGAATGCAAATTGATCAGAGTTTAAAATGAGGAGATAAATGCTTGATCGATTGAGATGTTGCGCTTCCACGCGGAATTCTCTTCCTGGCCGGCAATGCGGGATTTATTGATATGAAATTTAATACAGTAATTAAGCTCTATTACTTATCCACGGAGGTATGCAAATACAGCATGATTAAGATAGCTGTCTCCTAAAACGCCATAAAATATTGTTCGTCACGAAAATGCGAAATATTTCATGATACCAGCAAAATCAATGTAAATTTTATATTAAATAAAAACCTCAATTTGCAGCTCATTTGATATGAAGAATATTCATGAAATCGCGTGAGATTGCTAATAACATAATTAGCAAATTTATTGAGAGTTTGCAGTGTGTTTATTATGTCTTGACAATCGAACATGAAAGTCGCAAGCCGGAATTTCACTTAATAGATTTATAACATTCCTGATCTACTTCTTGGAGAGCTTCAACTCTGGCAATCTAGTCAAATGTAACCAAAAACGTGAAACAAAAAGGATCGTCAAGGGTCTATCGAAAATTAGGCAGGAAATTAAGAAGCAGCATCGCAGGGATGAAAAGAAGACCCGAGAAATTTAATCTCACCTGATTGTAAATTCCCTGAACGTAATCCTCTCTGTCTCTCTTCTGAGGACGAACAAAGGCTGTTGATTGGCTTCCTGAAACGAATACATGAAGAGCTCCCGGAGGCGAATTTTTGGGCCATCCAACCAAATTACGTGAAGCGTCCTTGAGTTTGGCACAAGGTTACCTCGATCTTCGGCGGGCAAGAAGAGGTGCTTCAGCTCTTCTTATCATCGTCAATAAAATATACAAGCGACAGCGGGGATTTCAGCAGGTTGCACCGCAGTCCCGAGTCACCATTCATTTGCATAGAGATAAATTACGACCATCCGCGGAGTGTGGATTATTTCTAATAGCACATCGATTCCACTATTAATTGGCAATCGGGGCTAATTAATTGATTTAATGAATTGCAGTGTCCGCGCGCGGAATGGGGGGAAAACATACAGCACGTCTACAGCTGGACGCGAACTCCCAAGAGGCTCTGGCCAGGAGTGTGAGATGATGGACAGCGAAAAGGGGGCAAGCACGAGATGAGCGGGCTGCGGGACGGGCACTGCCTCCGGCTTTGGTGTTCATGACTTTGTCTTCATCGAATCGTAAATCTTGCTCAATAAATCCGCGTGCAGCTATCTCCATATCCATTCCAGATTCCAGATTCCGTATGGCAAGAATCACACATAAGCGACACACAGCTCGAGATACATTCCGAAGAGACCAAAAGTCGAGGACGCGCCGCTTCGGTGTTCAAGAAAAATGATCATAAATTACACCTTTTTCACTCTGACCATCCCCAATATAGAAAAATTGTGAATGCCATTACTCTGACTTGTGACGATACTTCTTGCGATACCTTTTTTCCCTCCACCCAATCCCAATCGCGCGCATACAAATCTGCTTCGCTTTATTAACTCCCAAAGAGGCTCTTCGCATCTCGCGGTGATTAAATACCATATTTACCTCTTTTCCCTCGGTCGCGAGAATGCGGGACAATAACACTAACAGATTCCTTCATTATCTGCCCATCGAGGAAGATGCCACCGCTGGAAAATTCGCGGCCTAGAGGCCGCACTGATTGCCGCCGATTGATCAGAGTCGAGATCACAGTTTTGGAATTCCACCGAGCACAGATCAACACGATGGCGTTGAGAGATAATCCGAAAAAGAAGCATGTAGCCTTTAATTTTTTATCATTAGTAAAAATGCTCGCTATTCATTTTGTCTCCTTGCACTGATAAACCCCTCGCGCACGGCCTGGGCATTTAAAAACATCTTTAAGATATCTGAAGCAGTCGAACACGACTCGTGGCGAAATTTCATAGAATTCATCAGTGAGATTCACGTAAAACACGATGGATCTTTGCATAATTTATGCACACAGATCGGAATATTTATCGGGAGAATGTTCTTTGGATGGCCGAAGGCGTGTCACTCCCCTTCGCATCGGGTCCAAAACCTCAAAAGCTACCGAAATAATTAATCGTGGCGACTGAAACACCATTTAATTTTCCATTAGGAGGAGAATCATCGTATAATTGCTCCGCCGGACTCACTTTGAATTCCTCTATTAATTTGTGAACATCTTCTGCTGTGAATCCCACCCACGAGAATTTATGCAATGTGGAGTTTTGCGCAAAAGACATTTCTCGAGAGAGATGCTTTCGCAAAGGAAAACTGTAAACAATATTAATCTCTCGGGTGAGTGTTTTTGATCCATCGAGTGTCAACAGCGCGTGAATTGAGTGGTGAAAAGGCAGAATAGCTAGAGCCTGAGATCAATCTATTGGGCATCTCTTGTGCAATTACAGTCGTCGAGTTAATCTCTCTGTGGCTCTTTGCGAAACGTCGAGGTGGGGACGTCGCGTCGGTTGATTTTGATTTTGGCGCCAACGAGAGAACTTTTCCGAAAGGTCCGAGAGACCGCGAGAGAGTCGCTCTCGCGCTCGCCTCTCTCGGCGCGATGCTGCGAGGGAGAGCGCGATGTGGGAGAGAGAGAGCGAGAGAATAGCGGCCGCCATGTTTGCTGAGACTCTCTCTCTGCGCCGACGACCAGCGAAGGTGCTGCGGCAGCGCTCAGTTTTCCGTGGACTCCGAACTGAGTAGCTCAATACTTCGTGAAGTCTCCCCATAGCACAGAAATCTCCAACATCCCACAGACACTCTATATCGAGTTTCCCACAAGAAAATTCTGTGAATATCATTAGCAATCTGCTTGCATTTCGCACCATACAATATCATAACCACACAGTGTTGAAAAAGTGAGAATTCCCATTCGTTTCTGCCGGAGTGAAAGGTGTGCTTTTTCCTCAATTGCGCTTCTGGAAATCCCCTTGACGGATTTTTCCTGGACACTGTCTTTACTGAACACAGAAGAACCATTCACGGGACAGAACGTCGCCTCCTGAGTGGCACAGACTTGGATTAAATTACTCCTTTCCGGACAAACAGGTGAGAATTGCAGTGTAATTCACTGGCGTGACCAGATAAAAAGTGGACAGGTGCGTGGCTGCACCCAAAATTCTCCTCAATTGTCACTCCTCTCGGCGAAGAATCTCTTCCCTGGGCGAGAGATGCGTGTCTACGTGTACAAATAAAAACACGGGAGTTGCTAATTAACTGTTTAGTGGCTCGAGATGGAGTCTCCGTAGAATTCCCGCTATCTGTTTTCGTGATTTTCACTCGAATCTCATCTTATTTTGGGGTCTGTGAAGCCTCCCAGCACAGAAGGAGATCTCCTCGTTAAGAGAGAGAGAGAGAGATTCTGCGTAGGGCTCGAGCTGTCGAACTCCCATTGATTCTAATGTTAGCCGTGTTGTACAAGGGCTGCAAGCGCAACGATTAGAATCAATGAGATCATCAGCATTACTCACTTTCAGCTGATGAGATGACTTAAATTTAAACTCGGACAGCAGAGAAGATTAAATTTTGCATAGGTGACTAAAAATTGTCTTGCTATGAGTAGAATCGAGAGCTAAAGTGATTAAAACCTGAGGGATTATCACTTGAATGTCACCTGCATTCGCCTGACAGAGGCTTTTAAATAAACATTCTCAGCTTGAGTGTTTAGCTAATTCAATTTAAGGCGCCTCAAAGCACACTCTACAATTACTCACAGTTTAAAGAGGATAAATTTTCGATGTAATGCAAGGTCTTTGACTTCCCCTTAATAAACACTGAAGTAGAATCGAAGAAAATCCATTTCTCACACGATTGCAATATCTCTGAATGTCTTCCCAATGAGAATCACACATCTCGAAATCTCAGGGCAGCATTTCGAAAGAATCAAAATCTCTCAGTCTCCCGAGAAGAAAAAGAGCCTATAGCGACAAACAATTGCCACAGGAATGCCTCTTTTTCGTCTCCCTTCATATTGAGAAGTAGTTCTTTCACAAATTGCACCAACAATTCTGGGAAAATTTTTTTTAGAGGCTTTTATTGTGTGGCCTCAGGTAGCTTTTTTCGTCTCTGCTCCCTCGCCATTCGTGCCAGTGCCGTGATAAATACATATAAGAAAAAAATGAATTTGGAAGGAAAATTTATTAAGTATCGCATTGAGATATTTTTTTCATGTAGGCAATTATGGGCTGTGAGCACATACTTTGTTGTATAATGGGTCCAACGACGGGGAACGCGATGGACTTTTAAGAGACTGGACACACTGGAAACAGCGCTTGCGACAATTAAAAGTAGGAAGTCTTTCCGTGACTGGTGGAATTTCAATTAGCACCTTTTAGAGATGATTTCATTTAATGAAAATGTGTAACTTTTTAATCCGGTGAGAGTTGCAGCGCAATGCCAAAAATGCGGAATCGGAATTTAAAGTTATGGCAAGTTTATAAATATTGTGGTTAATGTTAGGGGTTGAGCGCACGCTTGCTGGATTTTTTTTCACTCCTCGTCTGTTACGGCAAATGTTGCGATGGTAAACAAAACACATCCAGAGTGAATTCTGGGGAGAAAAGGTTGTGACAACATGTGAGTTTCCATCAAAAACACAGAATGTTGTGCAGTGAGAGTTCATGAAAATGAACGTGCATTCCTTGAGCTTCATTTTATATTTTTCTCTTTTTAACGACACTCATCCTCCCTTGAAGGCCCTGGGAGTTTGATAAAGAGAGGAGAACATGGATTTAATGAGAGGCCAAGGGAGACGAAAAAATGTGGAACGGAGAATATAAAAGAGCATCACTATTATTACCACATGTTATCTCAATTTGGTTACCAAAGTCACCGGAGAAGCAATAAATAAGGGAAATTTAACACGGAGCTTGAGATAGATATTGTCGTAACACCGAAAGTAAAACTAATTGAAGTAAAATGCGAATTTTCGGGACAAATTGTGTAGTCAATGAAGCGTTTGGCGTTTAGAGTGTGTAGTTGAAAAGAGGAAGTTGCACAATTGTGCGAAACTCACCAATTATTTAATATTCAATGTCACGAATGAGAAGATAAGAATGCAAACTTTCACAATATTTTTCCCTCTCTGCGATGTATCGTCTTGAATGGAGGAAAAAATGGACCAACATTCATGGGATATTCACATGGGAAAACGCGTTATTGTCTTGTGAATTCAGTGACAGTTGAAATACTCTGTATATTTCTCGTATTTTATTATTATTATGTTCACTGCAATGGAATATTTACAACAGCAATTAGGAATTTAAAATTAATATAAATATACACTCTATGAAAAGCTTCTGTCCGATTTCATTTGCATTGCAATTTAATTGCATACAATAGGCAGTGTTTTTATTTTCTATAATTCCACCGCGAGCAAAAGATTTTAATTTTTACCACACTTCAGCGTCACCGCACTGGCAAAGAATGAAGGAAAATGTGTTGAGAAAAAAACAACAAACATTTGTAAATATCGTGTGTAGAGTTTCACTTTTTCCGAACCTGTGTCAAAATTCATTAATAAAAGTCGTGAGAAATCATGAAACGAAACGATTTGCCCTTCATGTTACTTCTTTCAATTGAACACGGGTATTTCTTTTAGTTTGATACTTCCCAGAATTCACAGCTTTTGTATGTGACACGAAGTTAATGGAAAAAATTCTTAGCTTTTCGTGCCTCAATCTGTCAAAAGCGACAAATGGTGTTATTTGATTTGGCAAAGAAACACAGATTGGAAAAGTTAGTTCAATGCAGAAGATGCTGAATTGAACACAAACTTCTTTTTCTAAATGTGTCCACACATATCGTGCCTATGAAAAGAGGTAATTTCCCATGAAATTAATTATGTGCGAAATAAGAGACTTTTGAGGAAATCGCGCGCGGAGGCAATTTATAGAAGAAAAAATCAATTTTGCTTGGAAACGATTCAATTGGAAAGGTGACTCTAAAGTGGTTTTTGACACTAAAACTTGAATTGATGTTGCGGAATGCAATTTATTCAGCACTCTTTTTCTTCAGCCTCGCCATCAATTCACTTTTCTTTGAATGTGCGTCCACTAGTGCGCCTCACAAGGGGGGGAAAATTAATTCGCCACAGGTCTTTTGTTTGACTCGCTGGTGTCAGGTTTATAATAATTTAGTGTATGTTTATTTTTGCATATTCAGCTGAAGTGCCGAAGTGAGGAGAAAACTCGTGCCCAGGGTTAAATGTCAATACTCTCCTTTCATTTCTCCCTGGGTTTGATGTGATGTGTGTACACACAGAAATTTCCAACATGCTTTTCTCATAATGTGCAGAAATCTTCCCTTTTTTGCTCACATCTCGCGCCTCTTTAATTCATTTGTGACTTCTGGCTCATTTGTAATGTGTCAAATTTGCGGACATCTCAGAGTTTGAATTGGCGCCGTTTTAATTAAAAGCATTTTATAGTTTTAAAAGGGATTTTTTTGCTTCGATGTTGGCATGCCAACATCACGATGGGGCAGAGAAGAAGAAAGACAACCGCTCACTGGAGGTCATCAACTCTATGCTGTGTGTGTGACTCTGAATTAGCCAAATGAACGCAGAAAAGTGCTGAAGAGAAGGCATCAGAGGCACTAAAATATTGGTTAATTTTGGGTGTTTTAAAGTGCCTAAATTGTCTAATTTGCCTTTTGGGAGTCCTATTAGGCGAATAAGGTGAAAAGTAATTTTTGGGGACTTTCTATAAACGTGTTGTGGAAAAAGACAGTTATTATTTCAAAAATTGATTTGAAATGTAATTAAATTAATCGATTTTTCTATATCAATGGGTCGCAAAATTGCCGTTCCGCCTAAAATAGCAAAAAGAAGGCTTATGAAGTAAGGTAACAACAACAACAGCAAATTGAGGGAAAAAAGTATCCAATTGTGTGAATTGGTTGGTTTATGGTGAAATTGAACGGAAGTTTCGTGTCTCAATTTTACCATCAATTTACGTCACTCATTTGTATGTAATCTCTGTATTTTTAGACACTAAAGTGAAGTGACTCTTGATTGTAAGAATTTCTAGAATCAATAATTCTCCTCAAGGTCGGACACACTTAAAAATAATTGTAGTGACTCAGGATTTACTGACGTGAATTGGTGCAGTTTATACTTCGGGAGAGCTACACTGGCGCGCATAGCTGAAAGGCGCGATGTGATCGCGGGGTTGGGGGTATAAAAGGGCCCTCAGCGGTCAGATTCGGGTCCGCCCGAACTACTCTCTGACACATGCTGGATCGCCCCAGGTGCGATGCTGCACCCAAAGTGGTGTCACTCCGCCTGAGGCGGTTGGGTATGGAGCATCAAGACATACCCAGGGTGTAATTTTTGTACCCGTGGGACAGTTATTGCGCAAATGCAACGACGTCCCCTCCAAAGGCATCCACCGCACACAGCTGATAAGATTAAGCCGTTTAACTCTCGAGCTTTCAATTAACTCCCTCTCAATGTGGCTTATTGGATGACTTTTGACTTATGGGTTGTTTTTGTTTCTCTTTGCTTTCTGTTCTTTATTAATTACCGACATGTGCATTCTCCCCGCAGTCCTGAATTGCTGTAGCTTATCTGATTAAGGCCATTTAATGCTCTCTCTGTCATGCATTTGTGCACAGGCTCTGTGGAGGGCTTTTTTCTCCGCTGGAGACACTTAAAGTGCCGTTGGGTTTCTCTGTCAAATTTCCAATAAAAATATGAGCTTGAGAAATTTCCCTAACAAGCCACACTTCCATAGCCTTGATGATTCCATACATTTTAGCGCACATGCTGCGCCGAGTGAGTGAGAACATGTGAAGTGAGTGAGATGAGTAGTTTGAAAAATTTTCCCTGTGTGAAAAATGAATGAATTCCTGTTGAAATATTTTGTCTTTTGTGGGCTAAAATTAGCATGGGAGAGTCAGCTTCTAATGTTGCTCTCACAACTGTGAGGTTCTATCGAAATCTCGAAGTCATGTGCTTGCGTGTGGTGGAATCTCGAAAGTACAAATATTGATGGGGCCCAGAGGGGAGGGCTAAAAAGGCGATGAAAATAGCTCTTGCACTCACAACAAATTTTCCTTTTTCCACGCTATTTTTCCTCCGGTCTCTCCCGTTCTTCATTCAGAGAAATGCAGCGCGGAACAAGATGAAAATGTGGAAGTATAAAATGCATGGTGAATTGGGTTCTGAAAGGGGAGATGTTCTGTGTACTCTTGGCGGCGTTGCTGTGCTGCGAAGAGGGATGGGTGAGAATGCTTTGGCTGTTTGATCTATCGACAGTGCGATGACAAGAGCATTTTGTGGGACTTTGTTGGCTGGAAAGCTAAATATTTGCGAATTGATGCGTTATATTGGAGGCCCATTACAATTAAAGATAGTGACAATTTGTTGACCTTTTGTCATATTGCGAAAGCATTCTTTTGGAGTAAATATTGTGTATAGTTTCTCAAGTGTCGCATGTGGGGAAGAACGTGGAGTGAGATAGAGTGTGAGGGTGGGTGGATCATTTACGCATTTGTCAGCGCTGAGTCACGCGGAATTGCTAAGTGTTGGGCGTAGGTGGGCAATGGGTATCTCGCAGAGTGTCTGATGATGCCGTAATATTTGGCACTTAAAATCCTTGTGGATGGCCGCTGAATGCAGCGAGAGTCGGTGGAGTGGCTAAAAGTATGATCAAGTCGGCGTAACCATGTACAGTTAGTGAACCACTGATCATTACAAGGCGCGCAAATGAAGAGGTGCGATAGAGAGAGGTGAAGTGAGTGTAGTGTATGAGTGAGGATGAAGAAGTATATTTATTAATTTACTCAATTTATATTGCATACATATTGTACATATGCGATAAAGATGATTCTTGTTTTCCTAGTGGGATCCACATACTGGATAGACGCGGTTGAGAGAGAAACCGATGCGAGAGGTGGGGTTCCTGTGGCGCCCGTAGGGTGAATAGAAAATTGAATTACGGAAATTTATAATTATGCTCGTGTTGTGGATATTTGAGTTTATCTAATTTCGGCCATGGTGATTCTCGCTCAGGGCATTTGCAATTTGTAACGCAGTTGCGGACACCTTTTTGCTCGCTTGCAAGGTGTGTAAAAGAGTGCGTCTCGAGTGTGTGGCGATTTAGTGAAAACTGATGGACGGATGAAGCCTGGTGGCGGCTGCCAGGGAATTTCAAAAATGTGGCGTTGTCTCCCAAAGAGACGCACATCTTCAGAGCGGAGTGCAGTGGAAGATCATCATCTGTAGATTCTTCTCTGGTACGGGAAGCAGAAGGAGAGCGAGAGTGTGTGTGAGAGGAAAGATGTGCCTAATGGCTGCAATATTGGCCACTTGACGATGAGTTGAATAGGAAAAGTCAGTGGTGAAAATTTAATCTCAACCTCATGGACTGACAAGAGTTATAGCAATGTAGTGAATAAATTTTTCAATATCTCCGCACAACAATCTCACGTCGAGGTGAAATGGTGTCTCTAATAGGATTAATAAACTTTATGGGGTTTCTATCATTGAAATTTCACATGCTATTTTCAACTTTCCTGTCGCCGTTTTGGGCTCACTGAAGAGGCAGTTGCACTTGAAATTCCCCACATTATGCAATTTTCTCGCGCGCGGGACTCGCGAAAATAGACATGCGGTGTGTAGGGAAATTTTTAGAAATCCACACAGAAATGGTCGGTTGTGCTGAAAAGGCGAGAGGAAGGTGGGAAAAGTAGACCGAAAAGGAAGTGGATGGATGGCGCACGAAATGACCAGAGAGTGTGAATCTCTCTCTCGCGAAATTCAAGTGCAATTTAATTTTAAACAGGCTGAAAAGGGAGGAGTTTTTGAGATTTGTGAAAGATAATTTACACACAAAAGACAACTGAATGCGGTGGAAAGTGATATTTGAAGCTGTCTTTTATTTTCTTAGCAGGTTTTTAGTGGGCTATCTACACATCGCAAAGTGGGAGAAGAGAGCGATACTCTGCGGTCTATGGGTTTCTTGAATTTTTCATCACTACTGTGGGGTAATCCTTGGTGTTTCGAATGCATTGAGCCCCCAAAAATGCTTGTGGGAACATAGAATTCGCCTTCGAAGATGGAGCAGGCTTCATCTGGCCTCAGAATGAATGTGTGCGCGTGTGTGAAGGTCTCTGGATTGAGGAATCCTTTGTCAATAATAACAATCTTGGGGAGTCTGAGTTCACAGCCGGCCCATTGAGATGGGTGAAAAATGAGGAGACGTGGATGGAGAAGATGAGGAGGATAAAAATTGATTTCCAGTGAGAAATGTTGGTGCAAGAGACTGTACATACAATACGATGAATTGCTAGGAACCCTCCAGTAGTTGGGCACTTGGGCATTGAAATCATCTTCACATTACAATGAATGCCTCCTGATGCATAATGGATGGAGGTGGGGTGATGCAGACGGGTGGAAAAGATTATCATCCAGAGTGGATGAAGTGGAGAATTCACCAAAGGATTTAACAGCAATTAATCTTAATTATTGTCGATATCACGCAACACATCATCAGATCAGAGAATCGTGATTGAGTATAATTTCACAGGCTGGTCGTAGCAGCAAATACAGAACACACCAATAATGTGAAAAATTATTCAGAGGAGTTCAGTCGGTGGCTGTGGATGCCGCGATGCCTTGGCAGGAGGGAGGGAGGGCAGGATGGCGGTATTCAAAAGGAGGACTTGATTAGACATGGGTAAAAAAGCATACACAAGAGTTGAGTAAATGCACTTCATCATTGCATCCCCCCAATGAGCCACACACATGCACATGTGGTGATGTGTAATGTATAAAATTGTCGATAATGAGCATTCAGGTCCCCACAAGCCATTGGGTAAATATCGTTGGAAAGACGGAAAAGTGAAGTTATTTCTTATTGATTGATTTCTTCTTCTTGCAACTCTGGCCGAGAGTTTCATATCCATCGGAGCATTTTCCAACATCATCATCGTGTTTCACTCCCGGTCGAATATTAAATTACCACTCGCCATAGTGGTGTATGCAAATGAAAATGAAAATGAGAGAGATAATAATATTTTTCCTCTGGCGCATGACATATAATATGAAAGTTGGGGGGATTGTATTCAGTGACACGATGCATCAATCAACACCTACAAACTATCAAGTGTTCTGGAAGGTAATTCACTCTCCAATTCTTAGCCCCCAACCAATGCATCCAATTAAATTGATCCGACAGCATCGTGACATTTTATTGAAACCACCCACACTTGAGCGCGTGACCCGCGATCTCTCTGTGTAGTGGAAGGGTAAACGATGTGGTGATCCAATGATCCATGGGCGATCGTGAGGTGTCTCTATATGGCATGGTGTGTACTTGCATCAGTGTCAGGACGACCTTCGAGCCGCCGCATGGACAACAATGCAGTGTTGATGAAGTGTTGTGTGTGAATTGACTCATTTGAATTTTTCCGCACCCAGAGAACCAGATGATTATCTCAAATTGAGTGCATGTTTTATGGCACTATTGACAACGATAATCTGACGTTTATATACCCATTGGAATAGCGAGTCTTCTCAACCACTGCCGGCCTCTTTCTGCAATCCTTTTTTCCCGTCTCCATCTGGCGATACAGATCCGTGTTGGGGCGCCGGAGGGAGGTTGCGCACCATTCGGTTGACACTTGAAGAATCTCACACGCGAAACATCACCTGTTTTCCTTGAGATTTCACTCCATGACGTGTGTGAGTGTGTAATTAATTTATGCCCGTGAGAAGAGATTATGAGAGTACAAGAGATGACTTGGATGATGTTGCAGTGGAGGAGATTACGATATTGGAACAAGAAGTTCGACTCTCAATTCCACTTGACTGACTGATTTATGGGTGCCGAAAGGTGAGCGTGAAAATGAATTTATTTGAATGTCGATTTTTAGAATCACCTCCCAAGGACACACAATTCTTGTTCTTTCACTTTGGCACAGAGTGTTGACTGCGTGCTGGAGGAATGATGGAGGAAGAATGACGGTTTTTTTTTCCACGAGTGTATTTATGGTCACAATCAAGCCGCTGTCCACGTTTAATGCCAAGAGAATAATTGAAAATTTTATAGTTTTGAAAGGCGTGTCAATTTGTTTTAATCAATTTGATTCTCTCTGTTGTTCTAGACTTTTTTGTGGTCGTTTACAAGAATTATCACAAGTTATTGTTGCTGGAGTTTAGGAAATGTTGTTTGACCCCTGAAGAGATCTTTTCTACACCAAAGCAGTAGCCTTTTATTGTTCAAGTGATTTGTCATCAATCATAAATCATTGTACACTATCAGACAGTAGGGCTTTTAAGAGAGTGTCGTAGACTAAAAGCGAGATTCGAATTTCTCCTTCCAGCAGCGATTGGTTTGACGTAATTCTGGGCTGTGTCGGTGTGCTCGGGTCAGTAGCCTTTTATTAATTTATGAATTGAGTGAGTCTGTAACGCAGATAATGGTTAATGATCTTTTTTACGAGCGTCTCATCTACATTTTCCACATCTTCTCATCTCTCGCGCGAAGCTATTGGGTGGGTAGTTTCAATAGATGAGGTGAACATTTGCTGCAAATGAGCATAGTTGAGCACACGTCGGTACGCATGATAGTAAGATTTATAATGAGTGGAATTGCTCAAAGTATCTGGAGCATATCGCAGCGGAAGAAATTTTTTGGCATCCCATCTTTTCTGAATACATAATTAAGGTCATGACAGTTTTGGCACTTTTGCTCCCGTGCGCCGCGTCCCATTCTATTTGGTCAGTCTTTATCCCACTATCTAGGATCGGCACATGTGTGTCTCTCTGTCTTGTTATTTTCAAACAAAGCAGCATGAACTCTCGCGGACGCTCTTAATGGTTTGAGGTTGAAATATATGTTGTGGCTGCTGGTGTGTCTCTTTTTGGAATATTAATAACATTATGAAAATGTATAGATAAGGAATTATTTATGCAAATTTAAGCAGTTCTCTGTATTCCTGTCTTGAATTAAACAACATACTCTCGAAGCCACCTCAGACAGAGTCCCGTTTTGATTGCAGCCACTCGTTCGCTTCCAGTCTTCAATCTCCGCATTCACGGGCGTCTCTCACTTGTGACTTGGGTATGTCTCGATGGTTGCTCACTTCATATCATCCATGTAGCGGAGAATATCCATTGGGAGAGACTCCTCAATAGTAAGAGTCTTTCTAAAATGATTTGCTTTAATTCGTTTTCACTGTATTTCCTCCATTAGTTGTACACACATTGATAATGAGGCATCTAAAAAGTCTTGATATCCCCAACATGTAAAGGTAAACTCGCGGATGGTTAGATGATGATGGTGATACCACACGATGATGATGTGGAGAGGTTTGAATTTTATCCACAAAAGAAATCTCGCGGTGGAATGTTGATTTTACTTTTTAAGCTGCACCACAACTCCTATTCTCCACGTGAGATGGTGGTTTTCCACCAGGTAAACCTCATTTCTGGTGTTTGACCATCGCGAGTGTGTTTTGAGCGAAGAAGAAATTCTAATAAATTTCTAATGCACGATCATGAGTGTTTTTGAGGTGAAATAAATATATTACAAAGTGTTTCTCTCGGCATCTGTAAATTACCTTTTTTTCTCTAATGTCAACCAGTCGGAAAGAAGCTGGCGAGAGAGGGTTTTGCGGGGAGAAATGGCGCTCCTCCGGAGGAATTTGCTGGTGATTATTCCACCTGAGAGGCGTATCTTGTGCAAATATTTCCCGTATGTAATGTCTCCATGTCATTTCTAACATTTTTTCAGTGTATCATGAGTGTGTAAATGCTAGTTTTTTGTATTGGCACTTCGATTGACTTTTTCCTTGGTTATTCTTCAGCCGCGCCAGAGTCATCGGTCACGATAGCATCAATCGACAATTTAGGTGTTTTCGATTTTTTGTTCTCTCCATCTAATTTGGGCGTGTAGGAGTTTTCAGAGTGTTGTACATGTGTATTTTGTAATCATCATTATTGTCATTACCATTGTTGGAGGAGTCTCTTCTGTATGGGCTCTCATGTACACTGGGTTTTCTGTTCCTTTGTTATGCGCGGCTCCATTGGATGAATTTCGGGCATGTGAAGTAATCAGCATGTACGATCGCATCTCCTTCATCCGAAAAAAAACTCGTGCAATTGAAGGTCGAACAATGTTCTAGGGTGTTGTATACAATGTGAATGAAACTGCGATTTACGTTCCGTGAATAATTAATGACGATCGTTTTTCATTTTGGTTTGCCCGCTATGATCTTCCACTGGTTGGTGATGGTGTGTAAGTGTAGAGCCTCAAAAAGATCTCGAGCGTGTGTGGATGTTGGTAAAGATCATGCTTTTTGTACTTGCACAGGAGTATGCAAAAGATCGAGAAATGGAGATTATGGAAATATCACACTTTTGTAGAAATACACAACCTCATCTGTTGTGTTGTGACCATAAGAATTTCAATTAACAGCAAAATGTGTGAATAAATCACTCAATTCACCTGTCGCAATAAGTAATGCCTAATGAATGCTGGAGTGGTTTTTTGGGCAAAAGTTTATTAGGTAGAAAAAAAGTGCTCTCCCCTCTCTCTTTCTGTCTTTCCGTGCAAAGAGCAGAATCCCCCATAATTGAGATAATAAATAAATAGCATCCTGTTTTTCTACTTCTTCTCGCTGTCGACCATTTAAAATGGAAATACAGTGGAAATGTGTTTGAAAGATCACACCACATGATGGCGAAAAGATCACTATAATGCTTTCAACTGTTAGGTCTATTTACATATGAACGATAAAAAGATGTATTAAAATGAGGAAGAAGACGGATATCGTGAAAATTTTTTCGGTGGAAAAATGTGCAGATTATTTTATGGCCATGATCCACCACTGCGATAAAGCGCGAACAATGTTGGTTCTGTTCTGGCCGCAAAACTTTTTGGTGATGTGCGTTGGGTGATCGATTGGAGTTTATTTGGATAATTAATTAACACGCGCGAGCCCGTATGGATGGGCGGGCGCGTGAAAGGGGAATTTGGGGTATTAATTGAGTGAGAACGGAAATGGAGTAACAATAAAATATTTCAGCTCAGAGTTGAAAGAAGACGCCTAAAATGCGTGTAGGAAGTGCCAAGTATCTAAATTTATGCTAAATGCGTACAATTATGAGTCAATTTGTAAATGATGTGTACAATTTCATTCACTCTGTGTAAATCATAAATATTTTTCCCCTTTTGAAAACTCATGAGCTCTTTTTCTTTCCCACTGTGTCTTTTCAGACTTGGCGAAGGAGTTTATTATTTCGTACATCAAACCAATTTGACTGTGCACGGAGGTCTTACAATTGCTATACATACCGCGGAGATCGCTGTGCCCATAAATATTTCCTTTTGGAGAGGAAAATAAACAATTTACCGTAAGTTACCTTTCAATTTATCACAATTGCATTGTTGTTAGCGCTAATTTATCATGGTATAGTCCAATATTGTATTTACACACTGAATAATTCTTTTTCCCCGCACTGCCAATTGAGTGCAGCTCAAAGTTAGTAAAGTATCTATAAGTATGTTCTCACATGTGATGTGACCTCCTAAATGTGCTAATTAATATGAGATACAAGTATGATTTATAGCTGTATGTTCAATTGCTGAGAGATTTTAGCGCTTGAGGTGAAAATAATCTCGCAGCGAATTCGCGATAAGATAAAATGAAAATTAATTAACATAAGACCAATGCTAAGAAGTGGTAGATAAAAATGATTAGTTTCTTTTCTTTCGCTCCTCACATTCTTCCAATTGTTAGCACATTTAGCATTTAAGATAGTGTGTGATTGATTTTCCAGAAGAACACGCCATATAAGATAGTGTTCTATAGTGAGACAGACGAAGATATATGGCGAGGAAAGAGTCCAAAATATTTATTCAATATGTGAACAGTTATTCAAATAAAACTTTATATGTTTCACAGAGCGCGAAAAGGAATTTATGTGACATTCAGCATTGAGGTGTTCGATAAAAAATATGCGCTTACGTGTGTGTCTCTGAATGTTGCATAAATTGACAAATATCACAAGAACCCAGCAGTAAATAACAAATCTCGCGGGTATGAGGAAAAAATCGTCTGCGATCGTTCTCTCTGTGATCGTGGTTTGTGGGTCAATTTGCAGGCGATGTATACAATGGCACGGGCAGCATGAAGTCAAATTGCGCGCGGTGTTGATGATTCGCGAAGAATGGCTGAGACCCACCCTAAAAGAGTCTCATTCAAATATGTATGTTGCCAATTCGGATTCAATTAGCATTTCATGATGCCTGACACCGTGAGCTCCATTCTTCCATCAGTTAATCAGAGTGCATTATTGAGCCGGCAGGGAGATCTTTTTAAGCATAATTTGCGGAGAGAAATAATAACAATTTAATGCTTTCATTATTGGAGTGCATACAAAATACCGGTGAGTGCGCGGCAAAAGTGTGCACAAGAAGAACATAAGAGAGGATATGATCGTGGTGTTTGTGTAATGAAAAGTATGTATGAAAAATCTACATGAATACCGCTATCTTTATGGAAAATTATGGTTCGTGATCTTGCAGATTGATGATGAACTTTGATGTGTATCTGTGTGCGTTGATTTGCGTGTAATGGATTAAAATTATAAAGTTTATACACACGCTGGGAGAGAATCTCTTGCGACCTGGCATTCTTGAGAAAAGAGGCACAGTGTGACCGGGACAGGAGTCGAGGTCGTTCATTTTTTTTTTTTTTGTATTTTGCATATGATGAAAGTTTGAAGAGCACACAATTTCATGCATAGTTTATTAGCATTTGGATTTGCAAAAGGAAAACGCTCCGCATTTTCTGATTAGATCTCAAGATATGCAATGGGTTTTTTCTTCTCTAATTTTAGAAAGTTGAATTTGAATATTTGATAAGTTCTGCACGCTTTGTCCGTTCTAGTCTCTTCACGTGCTGCTGTTTGTAGAATGATGGCAGAAAAAAGATAAATGTATTTCATGTCAAGCTGCACAAAGTCACTTCACAGAAATCATTATGACACATCAATCAAGTGGAATTATTCAATAAATTCAGACATGAGCGAGAGGAAATATGTATGTTGAAGAATCTTACCTTCCGAGAACCACCACAGCTTATCACTCATCTCAGATACATAATAATGACGTGTAAAGTGCAAAATGAGCTCGCTTTTGAAGGTCGTCCATGCCTTGAATACTCAAATGTTTTTTTTCTTCTTTTTTGAGCCGCTAACAAGGATTGTGGTTCACAAAATTAATTTGAATGCATTAATAATTTTTCCAAGGCAAAAAATGCGTCACTTTTTCATGATCCTCTGTTTTTCACCGGCTCTATTCATCCGGATAAAAAATGAAGTATGTCAATTACTTAATTCTCATGTGACCTCGTATAATGATAGAGACATTTTCGGGGTTTTTTGACTACTCAATCGTGCAATTGAATTTGTCGTCAACGAATAATTACATATTGTAATTGGAAATAACGCACAAAACGATCATACAGTGTGTTATTGAGCAAATTCACCTTCTGTGACACTCGCTCTTGGAGTCACACAAAAGTTCTCTCATTTTATATTCGTTTCTTTGTGGACTTCTCAGGGTAGAATTATGAAAAAATATGACTGATATTTCTCAATTTGGATTTGACACTCGTAATTGCAGAACGAGTGTGTGAATATTTTGATGTGTGACGACACTTTTTGGGCTGCATGAGAGATGGTTGACGTTGTGAAAAGACACACCAACTAATTTACGAGTGTGTTGCAAGAGGAGTGACATTTAGAGGTTTAAACCTCTTAAGGTGTTTCAGTGCCATCGTAAAAAATTAAATTTATCATGAATATTTTTTTCAAATTTTACACACTCTAAGCAGATGAAGCTTTTCTCTTGCGATGTTGTAGGCAAAATAAAATAAAAATGTCGAAGACAATTTCTTCAGCAGATGGAGAAATGCCACTTTGACCGTAAATTTGTGACTTGCAATTAATTATCAATTCATGTCACTTTGTGTTAATTAACAGGCACAAAACCTACTCTCTTGTCTTAGGAAAATACTACCAATACGCCACCGATATTTGCTATGATCGCTGAATAATGCAGTTCGATGGTATCGAAAATGGGAGAGTTTAGCTAGAGTGTCTCAACAACATTGTTGGATAGTTTTTTGAACAGTCCATTTGGCGGTAAATACAAATAGGAGAGTGAAAAGAGCTCGTGAGATCTGATTATAAATGCACTTGATCGAATAATAATGGCGAAAAAAGGGAAAGTTATACTGAAATTCCAATAATTGATTGATAATATTCACAAGAGTTGATAGATTTCATTGAATTTTCACTCATCGTGTCTCACATTTCTCACATCAGTCTGTTCATGCAAATGCGAGACAGTGAAAAGTCACACTTGTGAGGCGTCACGTCTTATCCTAAATACTATAAAATGTGTCAATTTTAATAGAGGAGCTTAATTGAGATAAAATTGCTGCTTTCAATCTCATTTTTTTTCTTCATAGAAGGTCGTCAAGTTGTTAAACATGATGTTATTTGTGCATAGTCTATCTCTAAATTATACATTGCTAGATTTGCTTGGCATTAGAATTCAGTAATGCGAAAATTTAATTGAAGTGTTACACAATTTTTAATTAGCGGTACTGCGGAATTGTTTTCCGTGGAACATTTTCTTTCTCTGACATACCGTTGAAATTTTACTATCTCAACGTGTAATTGCACTCACTGATTTTTCACTGCTTACTTTACCTAGTTGTTCTTTTGCTTTGCACTCAAATGAATGCAGGTATAGGTATATTGGAAATATTCCGAGCAATCTTCTGTGGAAGTAATTTTGATGATTTTGTCTGAGTGTAAAATGTATTCTTTTCTTTTCTCTCTTTTAATGTTCATTATATTAAATTGATAGCAAAGTATGGCGTCTGAAGGGGAAATGAAAATATGTTTACACAATTTTATTAGAGTATTTTTCTTTCTTTCTCCCGCGAGAGATCAAAATAAATTCCTCATGTTTGGACTTTATATTTTAATTCACTCGGTGTGTGCGGTGTAAATAAAGCAAGAACATTGACTCTAAAGCAAGCAAACAGTAAAAAGGCACATTGAGCACGAAGTGTCCGAAATTACACAAATTGAAAACGGGTGCAATTTTCTTGTCAGAAAATGAATCTATGAAAAACGTGGCGCGTTTTTGGTCTACTGAACACTTGAGTTTCTCTATCCGCATTGAAGGGTGGGAAGTGAGTTTCAAAATTCATCGGTGTGGCAGCAAATTCTCGCGAAAAAGCCATGTGCTAAGAGATTCTGTTAGTCAAACAAGAAAATGGTAGCAAAAGTGCAGCCTAGAACTCATGTTTCACTGCGGAGAACACACACTATATTGTAATTGAATCTCAAGGTGTCAAATTTTGCATGAGCGTGTCAACTGTTGGAGGGCTTTTGTGCTGTTGCTGAAGTTGTTGCAATTTTAATTGCCTCACTCGTGACATTATTCATATTGACAGATCTTTTTCTCCGAATGTAATTTAGTTGAATTGAATATCCCCCTGGGAGAAATGCACATAAATGCGAAAATGGATGAGGAGAGAAGGAGCAAAATTTATTTGCCAATATAATAAATCGCTTATATAATTGTAGTATGATCGCGATCGCGGACGGCAAAGGGAGAGGGAGAGTAATGTGAAAAATGAGAGATTTATTAAATGCTTACTTGGAGCTATTAATTTCAACAAATGCAGCAGTTGTGAAAATTGATTTTTCACGGTGATCACATTGTATTATTGGTAAAATTATGTCACGAAATTACAAAGTGATCGCCCGTATAAATCGCGATCACCTTTTGATTGTCGCACCGCACCTCGAAAATTGTCGAATTAATATTATTGATTGTTTCGTACGCTCACTTTTGAGCTATGAGACTTTAGTGAGATTAATCGCACGAGACGCTCAGCCGGAAAGCGTAATAATTCCGTTGACAATATTTTGAGTGTAAGATGCAAGATCGTCAGAGCTATAAATTTTCACTATTATTAATAATTTTCACTTGGCAATAATGGCACAATGCATAAACCAGGTGGAAAAAAAACACTTTTCTGGCGGCTTTTCAATGGGCATAGAGAGAAAATTTCTCTCCATAAAAACTTTTTTTTTCTTATGATCTCGCAGAAGAAAAGACTATAAGCTCTGCTGAGGAGAAAAAAAAGCACTGAATAACGCCGGTTAATAAACAAGAGATCATGTTTTTCCTGTTTCCTGGCACAACGCAATGAGCTCTCGAATGGGTGAATATTGAAAAGAGTGAATATGAAATGCACATTAGATAAATTGTACATTGGCGGCGGATTGGAGATCAAGAGATATTCTTGTCATTTGATCTGCAA